TTGACTATTCTAGAGTCTTTCTAATTGTTCTTTCGTTGTATTTAAAAAAATAATAATAAAAAAAATCATAGGGTCTAAAGGTAGATTATAAATTTGGCCTGCTTGTGAGGTACCTTATGAACAAATTAAATTTAATTTGAGTATGAAGTTTGAAATACCCCCTTTATTTTTATTCCTATACTCAATCAAAAGTGCAGACTTGGCGTTTCGTGTCTTGCCAAAAGTAAATGGAATCTTTGAATAAAAATAATGGCATCTGAAAAGGCTATAATTCATTGTGTATTATTGATAGCACATAAAATAATGTTCACAAATAATTAATTATAACACAAATTATTCATGAAAATGTCACAACAATTTGGTAAAAATAAGTTTGATTTATTTGACCATCAAAACTTAGAGAATAAATCCAATTAAGTAATTTTAAAAAAAATAGAAATAATAAAATATATATTCCAACACCTCCTTAGTTAACCTCATCACACATATTTTACCTCTCTAGTGTGATTTAGGGGTTAGCAGGGCCTACCCTATACACGCCATGGAGTTGTGGCTGCGCAGATTTCCAAAATTCATCAGTTGAGCTCGTCACACATAATTTACCTCTCTTATGTTTTAGGGGCTAGCGAATTTACCCGTGAACATTTTGGAGTTGTGGAGGTGTGAATTTTTCTTATGATACAATATAAAATAAAATAAAATACATATTGGGGCATATAATTTAGCATGGCATCTGAGCATCTTCAGCAGCAGTTTTGAGTCTTATACTTGGAATAATTCCCCCTTGTCTGTTTTATCTAATTATTTTCTTCATTCTTGTAATCATTATTGTATTTCTATGAAAAGTGCATTTTTGTTTCTTCCTAAAACTAGATGGAATCTTCTAATAAATAATAACCAGCATAATATGTATATTATGTGGTTATGACATAATTAATTTAGGCTAATAGATTAATTGAGTTAATAGTATTATAACTATAGAATATTTTAAGGTACCAATTATCATCTGTACCCGGTACTAATTGTACTTCATCTCATAATGTCTTTTATACATGATATATAGATATGATTAGAAACTATTACAAATATTTAGGATAAACAATGTATTCTAATTTTTTTGTATAATTATATTTTCCTTATTATTTTAAGGTTATGAAAATATAGGTGATTTTAAAAAAAAAAAAAATTTAAAATTTACTTCGTAGTTGAAATAAAAGTTATATTAGGCACGAGATTTTTACTTAATTAAGCTATTTAGATTTTCTTATGACATAATTTGTGCTTTGTTCATCATATACACAAAAAGATAAATAGCTAGACATGTGAATTAGATGACGTCTTCATTCGACTACACTTATATCGTATATTGTGTGTTTCTCTATCAACAAGATATATAGTCTCTTCTCCTTATAAGCTTTGCTAGAGTTGATTTTGTCATATTTTTTGTAATCGATTTGACTATTTCTAGAATTTTTTAGTTGTTTTTTCATATTTTGTACTTCATTATCATTCATACACTCCATATTTTATATTTTTGATTAAAAGTGCAGACTTGGCATTTTTGTATCTTACCAAAATAGATGGAATCTTTGAATAAAAATAATGGCACTTGAAAAGGCCATAATTCATTGTTTATTATTGGTATCACATAAAATATTGTTTACAAATAATTATTTATTACACAAATTATTCATCAAAATGTCACAACAATTTCATCAAAATAAATTTATTTGACCATTATATTGAATTAGAGGATAAATACAACAAATATTTTTTTTATTGATTTTTTCTAGACACCATTAAAACATACCCATGACCTACTGTACTCTTTATATTAACATACGAGCATATTATATTATTTCACGTGAACAATCTTCAAATAGTGGTTGTAGATTTCTGTCGTAAAAAAAATAAAAAATAAAAAAATAAACATATGGGCATGTAATTCAGCATGGCATCTGAGTCTTGAACTTGGAATAATTCTCCCTTGTCTGCTTTTATCTTCAATATTCTTGTAATCATTATTGTATTTCTACGAAAAGTGCATTTTTGTTTGTTTCCAAAACTAGATGGAATCTTCTAGTAAATAATACCAACATCTTTTTAAAACATTTAAAAAAAATCCCAACATATGTTATGTAATGATAATATAACTAATTTAGGCTAACGGGTTGATTGAATTAATATGAACAATTCATACGGATTAAAGAGTTAAATTCAATTCTCATAATCAGCCTTTTCAATAGTGATGATCTATTGATCTATAATTCACACTAAATCATCATTTGTGATATACCATCTTTTGAATGGAAATTATACATTCTCATCTAAGTTCTAAAATACCCAAATTAAAATAAAAAATAAAATAAAAAACAAAGCTACAAATTAAATTAATTTAGAAAAGAGCCTACCTAATATATGCTCTTCTAGGCTCACCATTGGTTTGGAAAGTCAACTTGTTCGGCATCTATTTATGCTAATGATGCGACTGGTAAAAATGTCACACTTTTTTTTTATATTCATTAATTACTAACAAATTAATTGATGACACCATTAGTTAATCAAATAAAAATATATCAAATTGTCTCAAAAAGAATGGTCGAATGTGTGGAACATGACTCATGTTTCAGAATCTCACGCGTTTAATTCTTGTCAACACTTTAATTTCTCGATCGAGTTTGTCTCATAATTGATGAGGTCTTCTTAGTGTACACTTTCGAGTAATGGCTGGACATGTTAAATTATACAATATTTAATACAATTTTATTTTTGAAAGTCAATGGGACATGGTAAACCCAAACAGATACAAAGCAAAGCTATCGATCCCAATAGACAATCCTTCATGGCAAAAAACACTTGATTTATTCTCGAATAAAACTCTCCCAATTTCAAGACGCAAACCCCAATCATTCTAGCAAGGAAGTCACTAGCCATATTTTACTCATAATAGACATGCTTAAGTTTAAAAATTGTCCTAATTAGTTTCATGTCTTCTAACCATTAAATTCAAATTTAAATTAAAACAAAAACAAGAGATTAATATATTGCCACTTGCAATAATTGATATTAAACTAAAATTTTAATGAAAAATAGGCAAGTGGAGAAGGTAAATAGGACACCAATTTTGTTTTTTAAACTTTTAAATTTTTGGCTTTAAAAAAAGAAGATTTCGTAGACGACATAATAGAGTGGTTGAAGCTATGAAAAGCAATATTCTTTTTGGCTATGTCATTATCATTTATTTTATCTCTAATATTTTAATTATCTAATTTTTTAACTCTAAAATTTTAATTTAAAAAATTTTTTTTTAACTCTTACCAGTTGGATTATTTAGAAGGTTTCTATTTTGCTTCCACGTGGCATGTTTTTATTCCACTTTGACCAAATGAAGATCAAGACATACATACCTAGTAAACTTACAACAATGTTACAACAAAAGAACCAATTCTACAACTTTTTTGGGTTGTTTTCACAAAGTTCACCATATTACACAGTCAAATCTTTTTCTTCTTGTTGTTATTGTTTTTAACTTATCGTAAAGAAGCCTTCTTTATAACGGTATTAACGAAATGTTAAGACAAGAAAGAAGTTTGAAGTATACTAGGTTGATTTTGATGAAGTCAACAAGTTGCAGAAACAAGCAATTGAATGAAATGAAACTCTAGCTGACAGTTGATTTAAGCATCAGGTTTGAAGTTTGAATCCTATAAGATCGAGTTGTATTAATTTTTACAATTGGAGTTCACTAGTTACGCGACATCTAGTACATATACTTTAATTTTTTACTTCTTACCGTGACATACTGTAATTGATTAAAAAAATGTGTGAGTCACAGTATTTAATTCTTTTTTTTTTCTTCCTGTAATAAGTCTTAGAAATATGGTGAAGATTCGACTCCTAATAACACACTCATTATTATTTAAAAAAAAAAAAAAAAAAAAAAAAAAAAAAAAAAAGAAGAAGAAGAAGAAGAAGAAGAAGAAGATTACACCCTAATCATACCCCATGGCCGGGCTGTCTCCTTCATTCTATGTTGACCCGGGCCCGAACTGGCTTTTTGGGAAGCCTGTTTCCATCGCGCTCTCGAACCCTGTTCCGACCAAATAGAGAGCAGAGCACTCTAGCTATTTTAGAGAGAGCACTATTAATTTTTACAGTTGGAGTTGGTTAGCTACGCGACATCTAGATAGTACATATACTTTAATTTTTTACTTCTTAACAATGTAGCATACTATAATTGATTAAAAAATGTATGAGCCACGGTATTTAATTCTTTTTTTTTTTCTTTCTGTAATAAGTCTTAGAAATATGGTGAAGATTCGACTCCTAATAACACACTCATTATTTAAAAAAAAAATAAAAAAATAAAAAAAAAAACCTAATCATACCCCCTGGCCGGGCTGTCTCCTTCATTCTATGCTGACCCTGGCCCTGGCTGACTTTTTGGAAAGCCTGTTCCCACCGCGCTCTCTAACCTTGTTTCGACCGAATAGAGCATGGAGCACTCTAGCTATTTTAGAGAGATGGGAGAAAACCGAGAAATCCCTATCTTCTCTCGCCCCTAGAGCTTTTGATGGACGAGTAAATCATAAGATGTGTCTCAATAGTCTCAAATTTCTCAAGAGTGTTTGTATGTTAGTGTTGACAATAAGACAAATGCATATTACTCCCATCAATAAGATTCAAGCATGCAAATTATAATATTACCCAAGCAAGACATTAATAACCTTACTTTGAATTGATTGACTAACCGAATTATGACCCGAGACATGCTTAGCATTTTTCTTTTTTACACTAAGGAAACACTAAGCATATTGTGTAGAAAGAAAAGCAGGAAAAAATCTTTGGACTTTAGGACAATTTAGTCACAACAACCATGATTAAATTATGATGGGGAATGGGTCATGCTCTAATAAGAATGTCCATTTCAAGGTAGAAAAACAAAAAATATTAAAATGGTTTCCTCTAACACAAACAAGCACCAGAAAACAACACAAAATTCAAAAGCAACACAACTTTAGATTCTTGAGAATTCAGACCTTCAAACATGTATGCATAGACTGATACACACACACACACACATATATATATACATGGTGGGATAGATAGCTGTCCACAACATCATAAACAAAGACTTGTAGAGACAACCTCTACAACTAACCTCAAACCCCTCAAAACCACCCCATATTCCCTCCAAAAAATGGAAATCCATTTCCAGCAAAAACAAATCATCCCTGTGAACAAACTCCCCAAATTCAAAGGCAGAACCCGAAACAACAACAGCAAGTTCGTTGGGGTGAGGCAAAGGCCCTCGGGGCGATGGGTAGCAGAGATCAAAGACACAACACAGAAGATAAGGATGTGGCTAGGAACCTATGAAACTGCAGAGGAAGCCGCCTGTGCTTATGACCAGGCGGCCTGCCTTCTTCGAGGATCAAACACTCGAACCAACTTCGTGACTTGCCTCCCACCAGACTCTGCCCTGGCTTCGCGCATCAGAAAAATATTTAACAGCAAGAAGAATAATGCAAAGCGAGCTGATGTGGGACCGTATCACCCGAGCCCTCAACACAATTCATCTTCCTCTAATAGTAATGCCAAGACATCAGAGGATGGTTCTGTAACAAGTTTCAAGAATCAAGACACAAGTTCATCTGATTTTGGTCTGGAATCAATTCCAATCTTTTCTGATCAAGAAAGTGGGAAACTGCAATTGTTTGAGAATACTTATAAGCCTGATCTGAGCACTTGCTCTGATGAACTGGAACTCAGATCTTCTCCTTCTTCTTCTTCTTCTTCATCATCTTCTTCAGAACCAAAGGCAGTTGTGTCATGGAGTTTCCAGCAAGGGATTGAATTTGCACAAGAAATGGTGGATTTCAACAAGACAGAAGAAATGGGATTCTCAGAATTTGAGAGGATGAAAGTGGAAAGATCAATTTCAGCATCTTTGTATGCAGTGCATGGGGTGCAGGAGTACATGCAAGCAGTCAATGATCCTGCAAATGAAGCTCTTTGGGATCTTCCCCCTCTGTGTTCTTTGTTGTACTAAAGATTAAGGTTGTGAATTTTGTATTATTTCCTCCAACTATATATATATATATATGTTTCAAGATTTATAATTAACTCTTCAAATCCTAAGATTCATCATTGATTGCTTAAAAGGTTACAGTTTTGTTCTGTAATGTGAGGAGCTATACAGAGAAGAGAACCAAAATTTTGGGATTTTTGAGGGGTTTCCATCACTAATTTCTGCAGAGTTGAAGAAATCCACATCTGAATGATGTGACTTTGAACTTTTAAAGCCTATTTTAATTTTATTAAGTAGAGTATTAGGGATGGATGATAGCACCTACTAATAATGGTTTATTCAATGGTAGTTAGATGAATACATTGCATCAAGACTTCAAACTTAAAATGGGACTATCCCAGTTGATTGGACAGTTGATTTGGTAATTGTAACTATTATAAGGTTTCAAATTTGACTCTCTTACATTATTGGTCTTTTTTGTTTTGAGCTAGTCATTTATAAGCAACCTATGTTAATTGACCTCCTTTTGATTCTATTGCCGATCACAAGACGGGTTTCACTCAAAGCGTCAACTATGCTTACAATATAGATTCAGACTATATTAAGTTCACCACAGGTTTAGTGGTTGAAACCTCCTCCGATATATATAGATTAACCGTTGGAAAGGCTATTCCCTTGTTTGATTGGAATGGTAAACTTCTTTCCATGGCATTAGTATATAATATAATGTTATTGGACAAGAAAAGTCATGCTCATGTGCCTTACGCCGTTAGTTACATACTGGGTGTGTAGGTTTACATCAACAAAAATAAACCATTCCTATTTTTATATAAAATTTCAATAAATACAAGCAAATCAGAGTGGCGCAGCGGAAGCGTGGTGGGCCCATAACCCACAGGTCCCAGGATCGAAACCTGGCTCTGATATTTCTCAGGAGTGGCTTCTGAATCTCTTATGTTTTTACCGCACCCGCATCCTGTGGGTTGTGGTTATTAAGTGGCTGGAGAGTGTTCATATTTCCGCTTCCAAAACTCTGCAGTCTGCATTATGGCCACACAATTGAATTGTGTCCCCTAGATCATTTGAATCTCCTTGATTTTGCTTCCTTGGAACACCCCTATTCTCAAACACCATACTTCAGCAAATTACTAAAATAAAACTCCCATCAACACATGGATTGTTTTGTGTCCCATGTATATGCATACTTAGATATGACCAAGGTTTCGATTTTGGTTCGAAACTGGCAATCCCGATTCCTGATTTTAGCAAATCGGTTCAATTTCTACAGTGCGATTCAGTTCGAACCAAACTATGGTCATCCCTATAATACTCTTTCAGTTAGCTAAAGTTCATGGTGATGTATGTAGTTCGACACCATCTTTTTAGGTCTCAAGTTACTTTACGCAGAACTTATTGTTGTTACAACTCTCTATTTGTCAAAACATATCAATAACACAATAGTTTTAAGTTATTTAGACCAAAACCTTCCACACTATATGATATGAGAGAGTATACTGCTTCCCACAAAAATATATCTTCCCAACAAAAATAAAAACCCAAATTCGGTGTGTGTTGCCATCATAATGCTGTAGTTGGACACTAGGTATGTTGTTTTACACGTATTTTGCGAAATACCAAAATTTTGGTAAAAGTATTGGGAGATGACAAAACTGCCACGATATAACACCTCCAAGTCCAATCAAAACACCTAATCCTGGACTCTTGTGCTATCTTCTTCCTTTTGCTTTTCTAAAAATAATAATCCCCTTTTATTAAAAGCAAATTCCCACAAGCAATCTACACATTGCTTTTTTGTTTTTTAATACCGTTTTAGTATCTACAACTCATGTGATAAGATCATGAGTTGTGATAAGATCACATAACCTCTGCATTTCAAAAATACACACACTTGGAAGTAAAACTTAGTGTAAAAGCTTATAGGAGAAAGATCATGAAATGATCGGAATACATTTCTTTACTACAACAGTCTTGTTTCATACTCAAAATGTAAAGTAATATTATATAAATTTTAATGAACAATAAAGAAACTTCTGGTACCCCAATCAAAGGGGGTTTTTATGACTTGCTCTAATGTGGGGGCCACTTCGGACCACCCCCCACTTGTCATCTTTATGAAGGATAACCTCTCAACTCAGCTACGTGTCAAGATACTCCAAACAAGTCTCACTCTGCCGAGTTCCAAAACCATGGAGGCACAGTGAAAAGCCTCCGTTTTTGGATCCAATAATTCAAAGAAAATCCTAGATTCATACACCCAAATCTACAATTCCATCAAAACTTGATGAAAAAATGGATCTTGAAGAGTGGGAACTGCTGCCGGAGGACGGGTTTCTGCAAATCCATGATGACGGCGGCGGGAAGAAGATATTTTCCAGGAAATACAGCGCCGCCCCGAATAGTCATGTCTTCAAGATGAACTACTTTGTCTGCCCCCCGCCGGGAAATCCCTCCAATCAATTCGTCGAAACTACAACCCAATTGGTCCCCCTCCCTCTTCCGTCGGTTCAGTTCATCGGTGATCATCACCACAAGGACACGGCAGCGACGGAAGCTGAGCCGGATCGGGTTTCGCAGGTTTTCTTCAAGAAAATTAAGGAAACTGAATTCCCATCCGACATGAAACTTGGCTCCCCCAAGTCCAACAACAGCGCCGTCCTGCCTCAGGTAGATGTCGGAGAAGTATACAAAGCTGATCAGGCCGTGGACGACAAGACCTTTTTATCATCCCCAAGATCGGCGGTTGAAGATGATGATGGTGACAATAGTGATCATGAAGATGGTGGTCTGAATCTACTGAACTGGAGCATGACCGGAGTTGGAGCTATTCTGTCCTTTGGAATGGCCGCCGTTGTCTCTACAGTATGCATCCTCATAGCCGGAAACCGGAAGAAGCACCGACAGAATCGCAAACTCCAGTTTCAAATCTACACTGATGACAAGGTCTGCAATTTTGCAAATTAATCACACTTCATTTCCCTTTCATATCAACAAAATCATTACTTCAATTGATCTCACATCCTAAATTTATAAATTTCCATGTTATGTCAGAGAATCAAAAAAATGGTGCACCATGCAACAAGGTTGAATGAAGCAATTTCAGGAGTTCCCATCACCAGAGCTCAGATCACTATTGGAGGTTATTATGATGCACTTTAAAATCTAATTAGAACTCTTATATTCTTAAACCTAAGAAAATAAATTCTAGAATTTCCATTCTTACAAGGAGAAAAAAAAATAGATTATATATACCTACAGTACTACTTCTGGTTTGCTACCAATATAATTATGCTTGATGATGTTGTATTTGTTAACTTATGGAATATGAGATGCATGATACTTTCCTTCAGACACCAGTATACTACAAAAAGCTGTTACATTAATACATTGTCTGTGTACCTTTCTTATGAGGAATCTATTGATACACTGATATACTAGAAACAAGATTTCCATTAATACATTATATCTCCGTATCCTGTCTATGAGGAATCTCCAAGATTCTAAAATCTAATTGAGGGTATACATAAAACTGATAAAAGGTGTACATCAGCAAAACAGACAAATTCTGGCAACATGTCTGCATATATGATACACATAACTGCAGGCACAAATAAAACTTTCACTCAAAACATCACAAATATAGAACTAGACAATCTAGCTTTCTATACTGCTTACCCTTCAATCCTCTAAATAAAGATTTTAGGTTTTGATTACAGTTCTGCACCATAGTTTTACAGTGGTCTTCAAGTGCAGTTCATAAACTATTAGTAATTAACAATGGATTTTGCCAATTTTTAATATTGCAAAGCTGTTAAGGAGGTCCTGTCATGTTGCCCAAAACAATATATTTAAAACAAGTCAGTTGGACAATAATCCTGTTCTTTACTATCACTAAATGGCAGCAGCTAATGCAAACATAATGAATTACAAACCAGAGATATTTTACTAGAGTTGATACTTGATAGGGACAGAGAGGCTGGCCAAACAACACAGCACATACAATTAATGATATTCTATTGCATTATGAAATCCGTGAACCACCAGCAAAATAATTGATAGATTTAGACAACTTTATACATACAGCAAAACACATTCTGGGCCAATGTTTTTTTTCCTGGACTAGGCAATAATGGACATAAAATTTCAAACATGAAAGTCCAATGCAATAGAGATCACAAAATGAGAAAGACCATTGGGCTGTAAACAATAGAACAGCAACCCTGCTCAATAAACCAAAAGATTTCCAAATCAAATTCAGATATGTATCAGATATCGACAAAAGCAAGGCCGATGGCAGTATGAGCCTGCTTGGTCAGACAATCGAGTGTGATGTTGCTAGTCTCAAGTAGTATCTTCTCATCGCTGTAAATCTCGAGACACCGCTAGTCCAGCATTCACAGAATCAAAAATAATGGGAAGTTGCAATTGGAAGGCATCAGTTTTAAAAAGCTCGAATTTTGAAGCCTCATCTATACATCAGCTCAAATAATATACAAATCATCATCTGCCTTCCAAACACAACAATATACTCTTGAGTATCAGATTTCAGATTATTTGATAATGCATTAAACTAAAGACTGTTTGAAGTTAACTGTAAGCTAAGAACGCATGAGAAATACAAGAGTTCTCTGCCTCATTATAATTCACGAAACTGAGTCGAACGTAAGTAAGAACTCAATTTCTTCTTGCTATATGCCCCTGTCTGGACCCAACGACGATGAGCTTTATCAGCTTCCCCGTTCGGTTATTCGAGGGCAAATCTAAATCTAACAGTCCCAGAGCCATAACACAACAATTTGAACGAAATAGAAACCTAACCAAAATCATTGCATTTTCATAGATGCTCGAAGCGAACTAGGAAAGGAACGGAAACGAATCGTTCCTCACCCTCAAACCGATTCAAGAGAGCTTTGCACAAAAGCTCACTCGATCTACGCCTCGGCGAGGACCGAAACGGCGTTTGCGAGTAGGATATCCAAGAGAATACCGATACAGCCAAACACAACAAATTCATAAGGGACAGAAAGGATATCCAAGGCTGCTTGGAGGACAATTGACAGCGAAGAACAAAGGTCCACTCAAAATGCCTCGATTCAAGACCCGAATAGTGAAATTCGGATCCTGAGGGTTTCGCTATGTGCCTCCTAACTAAGCCGGATATGAAACAACGAGAATAAATTCATCCATACGGCTACTCAAAGAAGCAAAAATGAACATTAACTGAGAATGATACAAAGCGAATTTGCTACTTCTACTGCTACTGAAAGAAGCTAGGGTTTTGAGGATGATGATTGAGATGGGTGGCTCTTCGCGAAGGATTTATGGTTGATTCTGTTGGGCGTGTAATTACTGAAATGACACCGAAGAAACCCTTCTTGCAGGAAGGCGCCCGTAATGGGCCATTGGGCCGCAGAACACTCGGATTAATCTCACTGGCCCATTAGTCATGGTTTAAGTCTTCTTTCATACGGAGTATTTGTTTTAAATTATATACTGTGTGGACCATGGTCAAAAACGACAGGCACTATAGTGAATCGGAACAATCGTTATATCCTACACCACGGCGCACATAGCACTGTGCGCCGCGCGCCTCCCAAAACGACGTCGTTTTGAGTAGTGTTGGGAGGCACGGTAGGAAGTTGCTGAGATTATGTATATTTGTTCACAACGTTATGTGTATTTGTTCACAACGTTATGTGTATTGGTTCATACAGTTATGTGTATTTTTTTATACAATTATGTACATTCTTTTTATACAATTATGTACATCCGAATCAGAAAATTTGTGTGTATTATGTTAAGAGTTGATGTGTATTATGTTAAAAGTTTATGTTTATTATGTATTATGTTAGATTATGTGTATTATCTTTTAAAAAGAGTATGTATATTTTGTTATATAATTATGTACATTCATGTATAACATTATGTGTATTCTAGTATAACATTATGTACATTCTTGAACAGCGATTTTTTTTTTTTAAAGAAAAAACTACTGCCATTCACTGGGGCGGGAAATTTCAAAAAAAAAATAATTAAAACGACGTCGTTTTGCATCTGGGCGCATAGTGCAACGCGCGCCGTGGTGTAGGATATAAATTGCCGAATCTAAACTGACACTGTCTCACGTATTATTTTTATTATATTAATTAACAAATGAAATTGCAATTGAATTGAAATAAAATTGTAGTTGTGTTGAAATGAAACTGCAGTGTATACAAAATGAAACTGAATAATAATTTCACATATTTGAGTGTATATTGTCCAGCAAAACTGTAGTTATATCCAAATAATATTGTAATTGTGTTAAAATGAAATTACAATGCATATTTAATACATAGACCACCATACATTGTGGACCGCAGTCCACAGTATAATTTGCCACTTTTTGGTGTTAGAATTGTTCCGAGCCTCATACTAAAATTTACTTAATTTTTTTTTTTTTAAAGAGAAGCTATTACCGTTTTCCTAGCTCGTTACTATGGTATGAGTTCTATTTTTTGTTTTCACACAAACTAACTTTATTATGTAACGTTTAAATATCATTTTAATTACACTTCGTGTTTTTACTATTCAGTTTCATTTTATACATACATAAGTTCAATATAGCAATACTAAAATATCATTTTAATTCTACTACAAGTTCATTTTTCAAATGACAATATACATATCTATATGAGTTATACTATTCAGCTTCATTCTATATACATACAGTAGGTTCATTATAGCAACACTAAAGTTAATTTTATTTATACCATAAATTCATTGGATAATATATATATTTGTAACATGATACGTCATTGACTCATAGTAACAATAGTCGTTTCTTTTAATTAAAAGAAACAATAATGTATTGGAACATGATTCACACTGGTTATCATCATTCATGGCTTGAACATTTGTAAGAAATGGGAGTACAACATTATGATTTAATCGTACCTTCGTTTTTTTTTTTTTTTTGAAACGCGTACCTTTATTTATTTATTTTTTTTAATTCAAGTACGTACAGTGAATAGAAACTCGTTTTGATTTTCAAAAAAAAAAAGATATAACCGTTTGCTCTTGTCAAAGCGTTTCAGTTGTGTTTTTGTACATGAATTAAAAAAATATATGTATTAAATTATGTACGTTACATTGTGTGCAATAATGTAACGCATTCTTATTGGGAATGTCAATTCGTATGAGGCGCCCACACGGAAAAAATGCACTGTTCAGAAGGGCAAGCACATGTTGTGGCCGGGACGTATTTGTCTCGATTTGGTCAAGTTAACTTCAATTCTGATATTGACAAAAAGCAAACGACAATACACAATAAACTGCATAGATATTTCAAACTTTTCAGAGCTACACAATTGACTATGAAGATATGCCCAATTACCCAATCAAATTGTTAAAATTGAATAACTAAACGATCTTAATTTAAGTCAATTGAGACCTCAATACACATATTCAAACATTGACTGCAGTTTTCATCGTCACTCCAGATGAAGGCATGGTCAATTGGAGAGCATTAGAAGGTGCGATGTAACACAGAAATGACAGAATAATTTAAGGATTATTTTAGTTGAGTTTCGAGCAATTTGGATGGAGTTTGCAAGCAATTGAAGCAAAGCAGGGGACGAAATTATCACAAGAATAACGGATTACATACATAGCTCAAAAAATTGAGTATCACCAACGTGAATATGTTCAAACGTACAATCATAATAATATCAAAGAATTAAAACAGAAAAAAAAAAAAAAAAAAAAGGAGAAAATACAGAATCCGAAATGAATCGAATCGAATCTCCTTTCTAAAAGCAAATGAAAATGACCTAAACATGATGCACGAGTCATGACGCACCAAAGGCTAGTCAGATCGGAAACTAAAATCCAGGAGAAGAAGCTCGGCCACATCTCCTCCCATCTCGGAAACGAGTTTAGAAGAGAAATCCGAATGCGAGAGCGGCGAAGGAGGCAACGGCGGCGGGGACGAAGGCGGCGGCGTCGGAGGCCGGGCCGGGAGCGGGAGCAGGGACATCGGCCGCCGAGGCGATCTGGACGGCGGAGAGCGCCACCAGAGCCACCAGAAGAGCGGCGAAGAGGACGTTGATCTTCCTTGCCTCCATTTCTGAATCGCGAGCGAAATGCAGAATTCTGAGAGGGATTTCTCGGAGGCTTAGAAGAGAGAAAAGGGAAGGAATTTGGCGAATGGTGGTGCGTTTGGTTAGGTTATTTATCAAAAAAGGGCTGAGGAGGAGAAACGCATAGAGCTGCCCGAAGTGACCGTTACGCCAGCCACGTGCACGCTTTTGCTTTACCGTTAGTTTCGCTAGCCTGCCCGGACTGCCCGCCTTTTGACAGGCTGTAGGGTTTTTTGCCTTTGTGTTGTGGGTATGTCATCCAGCTGTTGCCAACGGTTGTGTGTTTCTGTTGCGGGCTCCACTACAATTTATTTATTAATTTAAAAGAAGGAGAAAATTGCATTTTTGCTCCTTCAGTATACTCGTTGTACAAATTTTGTCACTGAATTATGTGTGTGATCATCTTTAACCTTTAAATTATGCATTAAGTGTCGATTTTAGTCAATAAATTACCAAATCAGTCACTTTATTAACTGACAACAATTTGATGGTAGAAATACTGAAAGACTAAAATAATCATTTCATTCATAACTTAGGGATTAAAGATAACCATGTATATAATTGATAATTGATGGACTAAGTTTGTCCACAGGTATAACTGAAAGACCAAAAATACAATTTTCTCAAAAAAAAAAATCTCACAAAATGATAAATTCTCTTGTCCTAAAGTCTGACATGACACGATAGTAGAGATGATTAAATATCGATGACTCAATTGTCTATTAGATAAAACGACAAGTGTCTGGTGTTCACCGCATTAGTATAACTCTTACACTATAACTGGTAAAGTTGGATTATATATGTTTGTCTATAATTTATCACTCAATAACTAATTGTGGTGTGGATTTTTTATTTTTTTATTTTTGAAAATTGGACCTTTTTTAATTTTTCTTCTCCAACCATTGCTTAGTGAGTGGGGGACCTGAATAAAACAAAATGATTATACAAATTGTGGCGCTTTGTTTTTTCTTTATTGTGGGACAATCATGCCCCTCCATTAAAGCATGTTCCGAGGACATTGTTGCTTCAAATTTGATTATGGGAGGGTGAAATTGACTTTTCAGGAATGGACAGGACTAAGATATTTTAGTTGGCATTTTTTTTTTTCAAAATGAATTTGATTTAGTGTTCATTTCGTTCAATTACAATTCTTTTTCTTATTATTATTTTAATTAAGAAGGAAAACCTCGAGCAGGACCGATTAATTATGCAAGTTAGGCACACACCTAATCCATATGATGCATTCATGCCTAAACAATTTGCAAAGAGATGGTGGTCCATTGCACATTTCTTATATATTATATAACAATAATTGCAAATCAAGATTGTCTAAAGTTTACTTTTTGCGGCAGTACAAGACTTTACTGTTTGGTAAATAGATGTTAACTAATTATCTTAGTGGCTTTGACTAGGTGATAGTATTAACTGATTGTAGAAAGATGATTGGTAAATTAAATGTTAATTAATAGCTGCTTACATGCGAAATGACTTTATCAAAAAACTGATCAAGAAAACTGCTTAGAGCAGCTTTTTGATTTTTAGTATTTTGGATAAATAAATTGTTACAAAAAAATTAATTAATCAAATATTTTTATTGACTGTTTAAACAAGTCAAACAACTAATAGTTGTCAAATAACTTAAAATTAACTGATAAACTAACTATATCTCAAAGCAAAGCTACCCGTGAGCCAAACCCGGAAGGGGTGTTAGAGGAAGGCTTGGTGGGTGGTTGGTACCCGCCAGTCACCTTCGTGAATCTCACGGTAAGGACGTGGCGAGTACTTTCCACCCGTTGGCCACTCCTGTTGGTTACTGTGTGCGTTCTGTCCAGTGTATTCTTCCTTTGGTGCATTGTTGTGTGTTGGTCATCTTTTGGTGCACTGTTGAGTAATTTCAGTGAGTTGTGTATCCATTGACCCCCATTGAATTGATTCGTATGACTTGAGTTGGTATATATATATATATATAAATTTTCCTTAATTATATATTGTATATTGGATTGGCGGTAACCGCGATCCCCTACTTCAAATTTCTATTTCTCTAATTTTTTTTAATTTAAAAATATATTTATTAATACTTATTTTCTCCAAGGCTTTTATTTGCAATTCTAAACTAAAGCACCACTTGGATCTTCACTTAGAAGGTTTCAACCTTCAAATCAGCCTATACAAAATTGGGGCCATCACCAATACCGCAAATGGGAGTGGGCTATAGTTTAAATGGACTGGGCCATAAAGTTTGGATTTGAATGGACTAAATCCGATCCCACCCGCCCCATTTAATGCCCCAACCCGTACCAGATGGGCCGGGTTCGGGCAATGTCCTTTGTTATACGCAAGGGGGCATCAGCAAACCGATCAAAAGCAATCCGACGGCTGTAATGCATCCTCCTGGGAGAACGTGAAAATACAGATATATAACTGCAGATAGCAAAGAGATGAGATGAAAAGAGCAAACAGAGGCAGAGAAGAAGCAGAGAAACAGAACACACACACACCCCACCTTCAAAATCTTCAATTTCATAGATAATCGGAGGTTTCCTTCATAATCCAGAATCTGGGTTTCCTGTCATTTGAGGATAATTTCAACATTTCTGGGATTTTTTTTGGGTTTCAGGATTATATGAATTGAGGTATACTTCTTCAGTTCTTCTTTACCTTTCTTTTTGTGTTTTGGGGATTACTCTGTTTTCGATGCATATCATATCACCCAAAGATGGAGTCTTTTGGGAGTTTTGGGCTGTGATTTTACTTGAATTGTGCTTGAATGTTTTCTGTAAAGTTACCCGGAGCTGAAATCTATGTGGGAATCATGGGTTCTTGTTTGTTTGATGGATTTTGTTGAGGTTTGGGAGAAATGTTGTTAAAAATTGGATCTTTTTGAGCAGGGATGGAGAAGGAAGGCAAGAACCCGAGAGCGGCGGAAACGGAGTATTTCTTACAGTGGGGGAGCAGAAAGAGACTCCGATGTGTGAGAGTTAGAGGCCCTGACCCTTCTTCTTCAGACGCCACCAGGCTTCGCCGGAAAATCTCGTCTCGCTTCCTCACCCTCTCCGCCAAAGACGCCGCTTTTCTCCCGCCACGCCACACCAGGTCCGTATCAATAACTAGAATCTCCTTTTTGGGGTTTTAATTTTGGGATTTTGGTAAATTTTTGTGGTTGATTGGTTGGGGACAGGAATTCTGAGACGGCGGCGTTGAGATCGGAGAACCGGAGGAGTGCGTCGAGGTCGCCGGAGAAGGAGGAACGGTGTTACCCGACGAGAGGGTCGGCGGAGGAAAATGGGAAGGTTGCAGCGGCGGACGCCGGCGGGGGAAATCACGCCGGAGACGACAGCAATAGAGGAGGAGGAGGGGTGGTTTGGCCGAAGCTGTATATATCGTTGTCAAGCAAGGAAAAGGAAGAGGATTTCATGGCCATGAAAGGGTGTAAGCTTCCTCAAAGACCTAAGAAGAGGGCTAAAGTCATCCAAAGAACTTTGCTTGTAAGCATCTTCTCTTCTTCTTATTTTTTTCCCTTTTGTTTTTTTCTGATAATTTTGTTAAGATCTGTGATGGGGTTGGTGGGAGTTGACTGACTCATTTTTTTGTATTTATCGCCGGCGCCGGCGACGGAGCAGTTGGTGAGTCCGGGAGCATGGTTAACCGACATGTCTTTAGAGAGGTATGAAGTCAGAGAGAAGAAGAGTACTAAGAAGGTATGCCAATTCCCAATTTCCAGTCTTCATCTCTCTCAATGCCTTTCTCTCTCCTACATCTTTACTTTCTCCGATCATATGGCCGCCGGCCGACATAGTGTTTGCCGGCGTAAAATACCCCATAACTCTTTCACACTTTGGAGGGAAGACATCAAGAAAAGGGTATCTTTTTCATTGTCTGCCAAAAGATATGTGTTTGGTTGGGTGATATTTTTTTATTATTTTTTCACTTCTAAATTTTCCACCTTCCCTTTGTTTTAAATTTTAATTATGGAAAAAAAATTGTTTTTTTATCCTTCAAATCTTCAATTATACACTGTAATATATGGGTAATCTTTTTTTAACTCCTAAATTATGTACAAATTAACAATTTTAGTTCTTTAAAGACTATTTCCACTCTCCTCATTTAAAAGAGGTCTCATATAGAAAATCAATCTAACTAGTCTATTTTGTCCCTTAATTGTGTCACTTCTAAAGTAAGTAAGGTCTACCCGGTATATCTCGTAATCTGATTCAAAAAAAAAAATCATATCATATATAATATATATAACTTAAAGATTAATTGTGTACTACACTACTACATTTATAACTGTAGTACAAAAATGAAAAATGTAATTTTTTTCTCTTAATTAAAATTATTTATTTGGAATCTATTTTGATTTGGGTTGTGTGTCAGTGCTGAATTTATTGGGGGGTGTTTGAATGGTGCAGAGAGCCAGAGGATTAAAGGCAATGGGCAGCGTGGAAAGTGATTCAGAATGAAAGGACTAACGGAGTCAGGATTTTCCCCAACTTTGTCTGTTATATATTTTTTTCCGTTACGGAAATGATTGAATTAGGGGGTAGTTAAAAGGGATGGTAGCAGAATTGGTTCACTTGTAAATTTGTTCCGATTATGTCCGTCAGTCAAACCCAAACTGTAATTTCATTTTGTATTGCGCAGCAAATTCATATTAATTTCGTGCAATTTTTCTTCTGTTCGGTGTTCCAATGGGGCCAATAAGAGACCATAGATTGATGTTGTGTGAACTCAGGTCCAAAATACCCAATTTACGATCAACTTGCTAGGATCTTACCAATCTTGAAATTCATAAAGAAACATTTACGATGGACACTATGTCAATTTGCATCAAATATAACCCAATCAATTATTATTCCATAGACCATGGTCCACACAATTGCGCTACCATTCGACCAAGTGTATATTTCGGCTCTAAAGCCCACTAGGCAGAGTAATACAACACGCAACAACTTGAAGAAGCAACAATGGGAACCCAATAGTTCAAACCTGCGCCCACCAAGAAAGAATAAAGTAGGAGAAATAGTCTACTACTGTCTATGGAGGCTAAATATATAGCATTATTTTCATGTGCAAAATCTTGTGACTGCACAGTACTTTCAGTGAGAATAGTGTACCTAATTGATAATAAATCAGTTATGTGTCTTCGCAGCCTGAAGCATTTGAATTATGAGTGTCTTTACATCCCTGCAAAGGTTTGTTAATTGAAAGTTGATTAGTGTAACAAGAAGCAATCAGCCAAGAGATGAACAGGTAGTTTTGATGCGTCCCACATCAGTTACTAATGAGAATCTGGATTAATGTAAAAGGCTTGGGTCAAACTTACACTCATGAGCTAGCTTTTGTGGGATAGTTAAGGTTTGGGTTCATACCAAGTTTTCAATGTTTTAAGAATGCCTAATGTGTACAGAAATTTATCTGCTTTAACGAGAGAATTCAACAACTATCTCACAAGGTTCAAGCTTTTTTGCAACTAAGAAGACAAAAGAAAACAATAACAAAAGGGAGAACCACTGTGAAGTTCATATTTTATGATGAATGGAATAAAAGTTTTATCTTACTTTCTTTCTACAGCACGTCTAGGAAAAGGGACTCGGAGCTTGAAAGTGCTTCCTTGGTACCCAGCCTGAAGAAAAGAAAATGGTCAAAAGCAATAAATATCGGTTTGAGGGGAAGGAAAAGAAAAAGGATTGTGAAGCTTAGTATGGTTTCTAAAATTTGAGAACCCTCCAAGCTCAAAATTAGGAATACTGACAGCTCAAAGGTTCATGAGGTACATATAACACAAATAAGACAAAACATGGATATATAGATAGACAGGAAGATGGATTAACAGCATCACCTTAACATTGAAACCAAGACTGTCAACATCCAGCATCTGTGCAAACTCAACCTGACCAATAGAGTGGATCCAGTTCTAAACTTTAATGTATTAAAAAAGCAAAACAAAACTTGTGCAGTATAGCTTAAACATAATCTAGTAGTTTTAGGAAGTGTGTCCAAGTTTCAACCATAAATGGATTTGTTATAGATGAAATGTTGAAGGGAATTCATAGTGCCAACCAATCAGCAAGTAGTCTATCCAAGGTACTTACTGTGACAGATGTTGAGTGCTGTACAATTAGCTTTGTGTCTTCTGCATGATCTATATTCATGTGGGACTGATAGGTGAAAGAATGGAATTAGATAGAACATAAATTTAGATTTACAATAAATATCATGATTAAGATGTAATACCGAAATTGGCTTAGAAAACTGGTACATTGGATCTATTTTCGCTGATCTAAAATCCTCCTCGCTGAACTCTAAAAGTAACCAAAGAAACGAAATTTAGTAGCAAAAGATAGAGACATTAAAAATCAACTCATTATGTAGAAGACGAAGGAGGAGGCACCACCTGATCCCAATAAACCTGTCGCAACACCTGGTAGATATTTTATAACCTTGGGTTCAATGCGCAGGAACTGGAAATCTCCAAAGTCAACCTTCAAAAAATGAATACATATAAATAGATAGTATGTATTATTGGTTATACGCCATGAACCTTCATAGAATCAGATTAGAGATAAACAACTACAAGTTACCCAAAATGCATCAGGATGCCTTGCCAAGTATGCTGCATGAACTGCATCTTTATCTGTTTCAGCAACCTACATTATAGACCATCATAGAATAATACACAGTTTTTCTCAAATGGTGGCATGATACATAAAGTGAAACTCATAGAAATGGGGAAAAGAAAAAGACAAATCCATCAGAAAGTGTCAACTTACAGGAACTGCATCACCATACACAATTATGACTAAGTCAGTCCTATCCTCAGGATCTTTTGCAACAAGTAGTGAGCATTTGGGATTAGCTAAGAGGTCCTGCACATTAAAATCTCGAGAACATGAAAAAAGAAAATAACCAAGCAAAAAAAAATTAAAAGAATCCGCAAAGACTCAAGATATTAGCTACAACTAGCCAGTGAATCAGCACATGCAAAGCAATATTGATCACAATCAACAGGCAACAGTTATATGGGCAAACTGACAAAAAAAAAGTATATAGGTTTCAGACAAGGACCATTTACCATAAGCTTCCTACATTGAATTGAAGTATGGCAAATTCACAAACCTTCGTATGAACTGCCAAGCTGCTGATTGCTAATATAGGAGATCCATAGGCATCACAAGCAAAATCAACCATGGAACCTGATGGATAGCCTTCATGTTTCTGTGCATGATCAATGCATTGCTGCAGTGAGCCAATATGGAGCCAAAATATGCACTTATGAAAACCATTACAAAACAACAGTCTGTGCGTATTATGCTCATATAAAGTCAAGTGCCATTATGATATTTTGTTCAACCATTATGCACAGTTTATCCGGAAGAGCAATTATACAATTTTTGAAACACAGATTATTTGTTATAAACAGTGATCAAGTGCATTAGAGTAGCAAGTCATCAGTCATGTGACTTAAGTATCTAATCCAGTATTCATGGAACTAGCACCCTGCTTCTAGACCATTGGTAGCTTCTCTTGTCTAACAAGTATTACATCCTTTTTCATTCATGTGAACAAAATGTATGTAAAATGGGAGGAAAAAAAAAAAGATTGGCCTATCTATTTTGAGTATTTTCTTCATTAACTGTACTACTTTGTCAGAACACCATTTGATCCATTCTTCCTCACTGAGATTGAGAAAATGTCAATAAACCATGAAGCACTTAGAAATCAACAACACAACTTCACAATATTATAAAGCCAGGCAAGCAAAATTGATAGAGTACTTATCTACATTAACACAATCCAAGAGAAATAAATTTAAAAAAAAAAAAACAAAAAAAACAAAATTAAAAACTAGGATGACCTGAGAGAAAGTAGAGAGCACGCCGCGCAGGCTGTACTCGAGAACTGTCCTAACTTCCTCAATAGGAGGCAGCCTAGCAGCCTTTTCCTGCAACACCAAACCTAATGAATCGCATCGATCCTAACACATACATGCATATTATAAAAAAATAAACTTAATTACCAGAAAATAAAGCATGAGGAAATTCATACCTGATGAGCTTGAATCAACTGATAAAGGTCCGCTTTATCACCACCACCACTAGGACTTGCATTCTAAAACAGAAAACAGAAATGGTACATAACTGTTAAATTGTTCACTCGTACAGTATATATCAACACAGATGAATCAGCCAATAATCTCGAAATCTACAGAGCGATACCTGAACATGTGTTTCAGTAGACGAAGCCATGGCGATGAGAGGTAGAAGACGAGTAGACGACCGCGGGCCGCGGGAGATGGGCGAGAAGAATATTGTTTAGAAGACAAGGGTAGTTGAGGGGGGCATTTTCATACTTACGAAGATAATTATGGCTATTTCGTAATTTATCGGAGTAGGTAGCAAAAGAAGCAGCCGAAGAGTCTTCACTCTTCATCTTCCCTCCGGCGAAAAATCGCCGCACCCGATCACCAATCACCGATCACGTCCCAAATTTTATTATTATCATTATTATTTTTTTCCCATTTTAACCATTTTTTGGATTATGTAAATTGTACATGGTAACATGGGCATCTAAGAAATTGTTATCATAATTTAAGAAATCTACTTTTTGTGCAAATAATTTTCCTATTAGTTAAAATATGAGATTTTACAATGCTAAAATATATGTTATGGCCCAAAACGAACGATTGATTATACATTTTTATACAGTGAATACAGATTTCTATCATCATAGGAATTACAAAATTAAAATAAACAACCTAAATTTCTTTAGATTTATGGAAAAATGTGCAATTGTTATCTAAAAGTAGGCATCGAGACAAACAAACCTAGGCACATAACTAATTGATTCAAAACAAAAAAATTTATTAAATCACTCTCCGTAAAAGTCGAATTTGAAATCTTGTGACTACCAAACCAACAACCCAATCAACTCGACCTAAGTTTCCAAGTTTTACAAAGGTGGGTATATATTTACTCACATGGTTTAAAGCAAATTAGTATTCAAATGTACAAAAGCAGGCAAGAGAGCATCCAGATTCACTGTAACTGTACAAGGGATCCATGTGAAGACCACAACACATTGAAACAGGAAATAAAACCATCATTTACAAGCACATACAATTCTAACAACAATGGGACCAGGGTGGTAAATCTGAAATACTGAAACTCATTTTGCAGGTTTGAGTTCTTGAATACTAGAAAGCTGTTAATAAGCACTCCACCCTGGACCACTGTTCTTCTATTGCCCCCTGAGGAGATGATATTTCCTGTCTGTTGATGTAATGTTGCAACCTTTTCAATCCAAGAACTTGAAGCCTAAAACTAACAAGTCAAAACACTTCCAGCATACTTGTCAAATCTGTACTGGCCTATCAGACAATAATGGTAAAAACTTCCAATGGAACAGACTGGAGAAGTGGAGTGGAAACACTCTTTTTATATATATTTTTTATATATACATTAAGTATCCCAGGTTCGTTAGATTAATCCGATGCCCCTAGAGCCCACACCCAAGAACAGCTAGAGGAGGTATATCGTGAATCATCCCGTCAATCCCTAAGTTCCTACCCTGCATGGCTGCATGTACACTCTATGCAAGGGTCTTCATTGATTGGTCAAGGTCTCCCAATGATCCCCGGGTCTTCATTATTGGTCAAGGTCTCCCGATGATCCCCAGGTCTTCATCTCCTCTGTTTATAGCTCTTTAAACAAATTTCATCAAAAGCTAGGCATATGTTTCTTCTTAAACAATATATGCACAAAGTGTAGATCAAAGAATTGTGATAAGAAAATCTTATGAAAATATGGCATAAAGGAAAGTTGTCTGCCAATAAACTATGAATAGATAGATGCCTTCCCTTGAAGCAAGGAATCACATCAGGCTAACAGTGTTCTTAACAAAGACAAAATGTATGATAAAGAACCATTTGACAAAAAAACAGACAAAACCAATCACATCTGGAAACAAAAACAGTAAAAAAAATTGTGCACAATATGCATTAGAACTAAGCTCTTAATCATTTCCTTCGACAAGGCAATCATATGCACATCAATTTCATCAACATAATCATCAATGAACAACAGCAAGAAATTAATGATAATCAGATACTTAAATTGCATATGAGATTACAAAACGATTACAGGGAGCGAGATTAAAGGGTAAAGACGGGAAATACTATACATTTGGGGGCAATCAAACATTGAACCCTAGGAGATCAATGGACATGGGGGTGCAAATCCTCGAGATCGGAATCGGAGTCGGAACCCGAGGAGGAAGAGGAAGAGAGATAACGGTCAGGAGAAGGGAAGCAGAAGAAGGTCCAGAGACAGAGAGCGAGGCGGCTGAGCTGGCGGCAGGGGAAGCAGAAGAGGAGATACAGAACTTGATCGCGGCTGAGGCGTTCCGGGTTGCAAGCTATGTATTGGCACAAATCTGCTGAAACATTCGCCACCCCCACCACCAGTAAGCTGTTGAACACCATTTTTCCTCCCCTTTCTTCTAACAATCTTCCAAATCGCTTATCCCCTATCTCTCGCTCTCTCTCTCTCTCTCTCTCTCTCTCTCTCTCTCTCTCTCTCTATTTATATATATATCTCCCTCTATCTCTCTATCTGGGAATCTTGGATAGATTAATGATCAGATATTAATGAAATAGATCTTTTTGAGTCGATCATGGCTACAGATAACAGATTGGATAGGGTCAACGGTTAAGAGTTGGTGAAATGCATTTGTCAGTGGGAAGAATCGGATTGAATCCGTGCTGTATTGGATTGGTTCATTGTCTAAATATAGAATACAATGTACGTGTACCTCATTAAAAAACTCCCATTTGCTTAGCTATTACGTATTTCTGAGCGAAATTCGTCTTGTAACTTTAGCCGTCTTAGGATCACAATAAGATAAATTAGTTTAAATTATTGTTCATAGCTGACCAGCTTAAATAGAGAATGTCAATAGACCGTTTTATATTCGAAATTAAAATCTTGTGATTATTAAACTAATAATCCAACCAATTCGGTTGGAGTTGTCCCACTATGTACAAATTTATGAACATTAGTATATGGTGTAAGGATTAAATTCTTCATGTATAAGAGTTAAAATCTACACTCAATCTTAAAAGGGGTGATTGAGTGGATATATATAACATGATTTCAACACTCGAGATGATAAGTTTAATTTTTACCATAACCGTTGAACCCATCACACATAGTTTTTGTAGTACAATTTACATCGTGTAAACGAAACTTTTAGACAAACGTTTAACTTATTTTATAAATGATTGTACAATGTGTGAAAGAGATGGGGAACCAGTCATTTGTATTTTGCACTGCCAAGGCGTTTTGGTATCAGACAATTACTAACCCCCAATGTTCATCACAAAACAAACAAATCCTAATCTTAATCTTAATAATACCTCTAAACCTTGTATAACATCTGCAGGATATATATAGATAAAGAGAAAAAAACATTGCATTGCAAATAACAGTATTCTTGATTTCTTGCTGCAGTAGCAGCTTCTGTTCCCCGGGGCCGAAAATTTGTGATCATAGAGTTTGCAGAAAGCCCCTGCCCTCCAAATAAGAAACCACTTGCCCCGCCATTTCATTTGGCGTAGGACATGCTCCCTCTTTCAGTTGTAGTTCAATCTGAATGAGAAAGAACAAAACTTGTTATCAGTTTTTCGTTTTTAAACACAGGTAAGTAAATCGACTAATCAAGGAAGAGGTGTCGACAATTAATGCGACATGTCAACAATCACCTCGCAGTTTAAAGGCGGCTCGTAAGGGTCATCTATTCCAGTAAAACCTGCAACGCAATCATGGTCTAAAATCACGTTTATTCATGTTTCGAGTATAGCATCCTAGTTCCTAGAACAAACAGCGGAAGAAGATTTTGAGTAATTTCAAACGAGAAAATGGGATAAAACGAACAGGTCATTTAAGTGAATATCCCGGTGGTTAGTAAACAAACCTTTAATTTTCCCAGCACGAGCAAGCTTGTAGAGGCCCTTTGGGTCTCTTCCTTCGCATACTTCTATTGGTATATTCATAAAGACCTGTAAAAATAATAATAAAGAGACTATTATCCTCGGCATAAGGACTTTGGTTCTCAAAAGTATCAAAGTTGTTAATCATGCCTCAACAAACGCATCTGGCAACATTGCCCGGCAAGCATCCCGATCCTTTCTGTAAGGCGATATTAGACTGGTAATGCAAATCAAACCAGCATCTGCAAAGAGCTTCGCAACTTCCCCTGAATACATATTCAAAAGAACTTCTCGATTTAGGGATTGCAAAGCATTGCCAGCTCTATTAATACGCATCGTTTTACTAGAATCAACTACTATCAGAAACCCCGGTCGGTCGAAATGCTCTTTCAAGAAATTCCAACTTTGCCCCTACCGATGTTTTTCTTGATCACATACAGAGTAATTATACACGAGACAACTGATCCGAGTCGTTATATAAAGTAGAGGGCAAGCGCACACACTTACCAACCCTGCGGATATTTTCAGTCCGGTCTTCCGGTGAGAAACCAAGATTCTTGTTGAGACCATGCCGAACGTTGTCACCATCAAGAATATAAGAAAGCTTACCCCTCGAGTGTAATTCTCTACCAAGAGTGCATGCAAGTGTGCTTTTTCCTGCAGAATAAGGATTGCCATATATGCTAGCGAAAGTCAAAAACAAATATATTATGCTAAACTAAAGCTAATTAATCAAAAAACAGAAGCAAATGAAATATAAATATATAATACCACCAAGAAACAGAATATAAGTGCCAACCTGAACCACTGAGGCCAGTAATCCATACAATGCATCCCTGTTGATTAAGTAGTTTTTCCCTCTCCGCCTTCCCAACCGTACACTGATGCCAGAATACGTTTGATGGATGGCCCAAAGTCGACATCAAGAAACAGTACTCTTATCTTTCCTATCACCCAGAAAAAAAATTCATATAGTCACAAAATATAATCCAATAAAGCTGATAAAAAATCAGTTTTAGTCCTATGGAAACCTCAAGAAGAAACTCTTGAATTCAATGAGATCAAGACCAAGTCTTTTCACCCAAGCATGAGAGATCACTTATAAATAAGTAAAAGAAAAAGGCAGGGATCTGGTACTGCATCCCAATATCAACATTATATGCATTGCAGATTTACGTTACAATTGTTAGTTCCTGTGTGACAGATTGTGGGTGAGGACGTGGGATCGAGCCTAGCCGTGGCGGTGTGGGACCGGGCACTCGCCCTCCTATCTAATGGAGGGTTGAATCACTGTGATTATTGGCCGGGGTGTGGGGGCCAGGGCGAGGGATTTTGCCTTTTGTGAGCCAAATTTACGTTACAATTTGAGATCAAGCTACTTGTAACTCTTCTGTTCATTTTTTTTTTTTTTCACCGTAACTTCTTACATTCTCATCAAATGAATACAATGACTTCCGCAATTTACATTTCTGTTATCAAATCAAATTCTCTAATAACGCTCAAACAAATAAATCTGATATATTGGGACGATAATTTCTCAAGGAGAATGCAAAGCGTTACAAAAGGCACCATTTTTCAGCTGCCATCCCTCCATTCTCCCCAAACCAATAACGGAAAATGAAAATCACAAGTCAGAGAAAAACGAAGCGAAAATAATTATGCATCAATTATCAGGCTCCAGCCCACCATTCATTACAGATCAAGAATACCCATCAAGACATTCAATCGAAAATTCCAAAAAAAAAAAAAAAAAAAAAAAAAGATAGGAAAATGATATTGCATACCTGCACTGGAAGAGCTACGGAACCCTAAAACGAAGCGTTAATGGAGCTTTTGTGTTTGGTTGAAAGGTTTGATGAATGTGGACGTTTTTCCGTTGGAGAAAAGTGGTAGTGAGGAGTGCGAGGAAACAACGAAACTGTGCAGTGGTATCTTCCGCGTGGCGTTTATTGTGGAATACGGCATTTTTCTACTATAAGCTTTTGACCAGTGTCCAGAATTAGACGACGGTGACGCAAGGGTATCCTTGATGTAAATAATAATAATAATAATAGTTTAATTTAATAATAAGATTCAATTTCATTTTAAAATTTCAGACTACTATGATATTCTATTTTATTTTTTGTTATATATTACTCCGTAATAATTTTGATTATTTTTAACACATCATTATTGGTTATGACAAGACACTAAAGACTTGGTAAAGGATTAAATTTGCGTCAAATGTTAGACGAGCTTAAAGCAAAAAATTAGGAAATCAAGATGTGTGTTGGTCTATTGGATGGACACCATCGAGTGGTGGTTATGCTAGGAAAAATATGAGTCCATTACAAATATTTCTATTATTATTATTTATTTTCAAACTTCTTACAATAACTATATAATGATATTAAAAAGAAAAAAAAAAAAAAAGGAAAAAAGGAACATATGTAAAAAGAAATGGCAACTCTGTGATACAAATTTTATGAGAAATGCTACTCTTGCATGCAAAAATAATAGTTTTAATATATCGGGTTCATCATTGGTGTGGTAAAATACCTCGTTTATTTAGAATACGTATAAAGCATGAGATCGGGCCGGGTAGGGCCCTTGGACGGGCTGCTTGTTGGTTTCACAGGTGGAACTCGGGAACAAGCATGGGGCCGGAGGTTCCCGAGCTAATTGAGGCTATAAAGAAGTTGCCAAGAGTTCATTTTATTGTTGTTTCGTGGGTATAATCAATTCGGGAAACACATGCCGAGGGGCTGGCATGCGCATGCGTTCTCCATGCACTCGGTAACTTGGTCGGCTATGGGGGAACGCACACGTGTGAGCATATGTCTGAAATGCTATTTTAGTCATTGGAATTAGTTTAGGGTCAAGTATTTGCGCTCGGGGTCTTGGTCGAGCAAGTAAGTCGGGATCGAGCTTCGAAAGGCGTTGACGGTGGTTCATCAAGCCATAAAAACCGGTAATCCTTCAGGTTGGGTCAGTCAAGCGTTGCTTTACGGTCGGTTCAAATCGGAAAAGGGTCCAAGTCTCAATACAATCCAAACCTGACCATATCCCGAAAACGAAAAGGACCATAAACCAAGATATATTCCCTATCAGACCTAGTACATCTCCATCAAACATAAATATAAAGGAGGTGGAAACTGATTTCGATAACTTCAATTTCCACTCTTCATTCTATAGTTTTTAAAGGTTGAAGTAAATGTATTCTTTATTTTATTTTTAAACAATTTGTTGTACCAATTAGTAAATGCTCTCGCACTCATCTAATTTTTGTCCACTACATATTGCATGCGCTTGTAGCTTAGTGGATAGAGTGTCTGTTTCCTAAGCAGAAAGTTATAGGTTCGACCCCTATTTGGCGCAGTTTATTATTTTCATTATTAGCTGTAGATTACAATTTCTTGCTTTCTTTTGAGACAGTCAGAACAAAGTGAAGAGGACAAGACTTTTTTTTTTAAAATTTTTATAATAGTCATAAATTAATTGAATTTATCATTTTTTTCTAATAATGTCACATTTTGCAATATCTAAGACTTTTTTTTTAGCGCGTTGATATTCGCATTCTAAAAGACAAGACTAACTAGTTTAACCAAAACCTTGTTCTATGCTACTTATGAATCGAAAAACGAATATAGCTTATGACAAAATAATCGGACACCTAAGAGTCATGCAGTACCATTTGCGTATGATTACATTGCACTCTAAATATCAAGGTGCAAAACTAGGTAAACCCGCTTCAGTGCTTTAACCTACTAACCACACATGAGATGTTGAAAAGTAATTGCACAAGAGAAGTAAAAAATTACATTATAAAGTCCAAGAAAGTATAGACAACAACCAAACTTGTGACATTCTTATATGAGAGCCATTCTTTATCCATTCGACCATTTTTTGGGCACTTTAGTTGGCAATTGATCAATCATAGTATTTTAAAGTTTTATAGACAAACTATGCTCACACTCACAACCAGCGCCTGTAGCTCAGTGGATAGAGCGTCTGTTTCCTAAGCAGAAAGTCGTAGGTTCGACCCCTACCTGGCGCGATGTATTCTGCAAAATTTTTGCCAGCCAAACCAAACAGCCTTTCTGAAAATGTACGACCTTACAACACATCATGAACAAGGTTGTCTGTCAGGTACTCAGGTTAGATTGCCTTTGAGAGCATAGGCAGCTCTTTGGATAGCCCTTGCAACTCTCCAGATTTCATGCTGGATTATTGCCCCCCTTTCTGTGTTGTTTAGATGCGTCGATCGCGAAACAGCATCAACTATTCCGGGGAAGAAATCTAGCTCGGTTTCACCACCGGTGCTCGGTCCATAAACCTGCATCTCAACGCCCCGAGTCAAACCAAAGTTTATACAATATGTGTATGCAGCAATGACCTTGACAGAGCTACCCAGAACGGGTCCAATCGAAACTTACCTGGATTAGTTTCATTTTGCAAGATGCTGATACCAGTGCAATATGAAAAAAGAAACGACAAAAATACTTACAAGATGCTTGAACCATTGCCTTCCGTTAACCCCCTCGGTATTTAAGAAACCTCTCTCGGCAGACATTAGGCGATCGTTTAGCATCCGCCGCTCCAATATCAAAAGTTCAGCCATGGTTTCATCCTTCCTTAGTTTCTACATTTGATGGCTAAACATTAGAAAAAAGTAAAGAAGAATAAAGTCACATAAGAACCTCCAAAAGCCTATATTTCTCTAACCTTTGCTTCTTCCTCAATAGCTTTAGCCGCAGCAGTAAGCTCCCGAATGGCATCGAAAATTGGATCTAACGAGACACCTCCTTCCAATACACCACTCAAGCTTCGCGTATACCTCTGCAAATAAGCTTATCAACTAAAGTTCGAAAAGCTTCATAAATGGGTGCAATCAACTATAAACGGCGGTCTAGACAAAAAAAAAGTTATACCAATAACTCAGCAGCATAAGGCTCGTAGTTAAAAGGAAGAACTGCCTCGTCAGCTAGGTGAAGTCCAAGAAGTCCCCAAACTCCCGATACTGTTATCAGAACAAAAAATTCGGTTGTCATTATAAGTTGTATACTTATTTCCAAGTGTGTTTTGAGTAAGGTATAACGAATCCAAAAGCTACCTGCCATATGTCGTTGGAAAAATGGATCTCCGAATTTTATCATCCAATCATAGGAATCAAAGGCAGTGTGGTACACCGGGAAATCTACAAGAAAGAAAGTGTACCCGCTATTCTGCTAAGGTGTATATAATCTAATCGATAATATAACTTGGTTATGTAATGCCAGAAATTCGTGTATACCTTTACCATAGTATAAATCGACCGAAGGGATTCCTGCAAGTTGCAAAAACGAAGCAAAATCTGAATCTACTCTACTAAGCCTCTGGATCTGCAAACATAAAATATGAAACTAATGTTTTTAACCATAGTGTTATAATATATTGTTTTTCCTTCTCAAATTGCTTAGCTAATAATTACTGTAATCTCAATTCAAACTCACAATTCAACTGCTTAACAAGTGAAAAAAAGCAGGCAGGGAGAAAACTTACATTCGCACCTCTGTTGGAAACGACTGCCCAAGTTTCAAATATCGTCATCCTCTCATTATCAGGATCCCGAACCTGAAACGATATTCATGTGATAAATCGGGGAAAATTGTTAGATGAAGAGTTGAACTGAGCTTAATTACCATCTTAGCGACATTGAGAAGAAGATCATCGAGCTGAGGAGTTGCACTAGCGAAAAACCCGGGCCCTTGAACTGCACAATCCACATTTAGGTATGCAACGGATTTAGCGGCCAGATTCATAAGGTTCTGCTCAACGAACTCGGTAGACCCAATCTGAACCCACACGAACGATATCAGATTCGTTGTTTTAATATAATGACCAAAACATGTATGTATGTATGTAACCATAAGTCTTAATTGTTTGAATCTTGAATGATGAGTGCTCGAAAACACAATCAATATTACCATCCCAAACTCTTCAGCATCCCAGCTGCAAAGCATGATTGTTCGTCGAGGATTCCAGCCCAAGCTCACGAGACGAGCATATCTGCGAGCTATGTCGAGTAGGGCAGCAGTTCCGCTATTGGGGTCAACTGCTCCATATGTCCACGCATCTCGGTGGTTCCCGAGCACTACAAATCGATCAGGCTCTTCCAAGCCTCTTATGATGCCAAAAACATTATGAATCGTTGCCATCTTCTTCTCCCCCTAATCAAAATGAAATCATGACTCAAAGTGGTCTGGTCTTCCCACTTATATTAGCATATATATATATATATATATATATATATATATATATATATATAGCAGTGTTTCTAAATTCAGTTTCCTTTCCATAATTTCTCCTAAAGGCAAAACCTAGGATCATGTCCTATGCAGCTATGTTTCCAGCCAACAACATTTGACGATGAGAAACACAACAGATAATATATGCAACAAAACAAGAGAGGCAACCCGAGTCGATTAAACTGTTACGTTGGCTGATAATTACAAGGTTACAACTTTGACTCCAGTAAAAATAAATTTTTTTGAGCCAGTCAACGGCTAGTAACTGCGGGTTTCTCATTGTGACTCGAATCCAAATAAATTCTAGCAAAACTCCAAATTATATATCCATAAAGAGTAAAGACAACATTTTCTTTTTTATAAATTTAGGTTAGCAAACAAACCTGGTATGAAAAGTTAAGCATTGTCGGACCAGGCCCAACTTTTTTAAAATCAATCCCACTGTTCTTTAGATTCTTGGTCCACTGCTGGGGGATTTCAGCCCCTTCCAGAGATCTCAGGATGATTCCGGCGGCCGCCATGGATATCGGCAAGGAGGGGACTTTTGGGAATTTATCTCTTACCCGTGGGTCATCTAATCTGAGCTTCTCTCCGGTCTCCCACCCAGGGCTAAGTGGGTCCCCCAGGCTACTCATCACAGTTCCCCTCTCCACGCCGGCGGCGAATTTCTCACGGTCACCGTCGGTGTACATTAGCACCGCCGCCACTCCACGCGACGCAGCCCTCTCCACCGCCTCGCTCCTCGACAGCCCGCCGCCTCTCCGGACGATTCCCACGCAGCCCTCCACGTCCACCCCTACCGCCGCCAGCTCGCGGTAGTCGTCGTCCCTCCCGTAGTTCAAAAACACCGCCTTTCCGTACGCCGACCCCGACGGGGAGTACGCGTGGTACGGCATTACAACGCCGCCGCCGCCGTCTCCCGTAACTCCCGGCTCCGACAACGGGACGGGAACATCGGAACCGTTGCTAAAACACGCCGTGACCGAAGCGCTCAGCGGGTAAGACAGAAGAACGGTGTAGTTAACGACGCGGGTGTCGAGCTTGAGGCGCTCGAAATGGGACTTCACATAAACGGCGGCGCCGAGGGACGACGGCGTGCCGGCGAGGTGGGGCCGGCCTGTGAGATTGCGAAGATAGGCGGCGATTGTATAGTTCGACGCGGAGGAGATGAAATCATTCCTATAATAAAGCCCATTTCTTTTCACCGCCGTGAGGTCGCGGCGGCTGTGGTGGTGCAGGGTGGCCAAGAAGACTATAATAAACATAACAAAGATCAAACTATACGTAAATTTAAACTTAATCGCCATTTTTGTAGGTGCCCGGAGCATTCAATTCAGAAACAGAGCACAACTGAGAATCAAGTGGGGACTTGGGAGCGGCGGAGACCGGCGAGCATGCAGAGACTAATCATTAAAGTAGTTTGCTTTTTGGCTTTTGCAATTAAAGTGTTTTTTCATTTTTTCCAACTTCTTGATAGGTATATGTGTAAATATGAGTGCTGAAATAGGGAATTTGTTCGTTTTCTTTTTCAGATTATGATAATATCATGTTAATTCATCTTTTCTGCATTTATATCTTCATGTATGTATGCAGAAACTGCTAATGATCTCCTTGTCAGAAAGACAGGGACAACCGAACAAATAAAAATGTTTTCTAATCTTTAGTTTAAATCCCTCTCTCTCTCTCTCTCTCTCTCTATATATATATATATATATATACACACACAGAGTATATGATCTGCCAACCAGGTAGGTAACTATGTATTTTGTACATTTGTTGTCAGTATCAATCTGGAAGCAGACACCCAAAATACCCAATGTGTGGCCAAAAATGCATTAAAAGGGAATTTGTCTGAAAAGACACAAATTTAACCCAAATAGTTCTTGTTTCAACTTGTACGCTACTACTTACAATAAAGTGAAATTTATACCCTAATAAAATAAAATCTCTTAACTTATTTTAGATTGGTTAATTAATTGAGTTGGATTAGAGATCGATTGATCCTGTAATACCCAGGCTTTTTGTGCCGGATTAGGAGTTGGACTCGAGGGAGTGGCACCGAATGCCGAGTCACCAGACGGAGCTGCGTCGATGGTGGCCGGAGGGCACGGCGTGGTGCCATCGACGTAGCCTAGCAGACCCTGCCCCCGGAGAAAAGGGATGAGCTGCGTTCGCCAGAAGAGGTAATTTCGAGACGTGAGCTTCATCGAGACGTAATGATGAGCGCCTACGAGATGGTTCGGGGCCGCCGGAGAAGGTGAGCCGGCGGCGGACACAGTGTGTTCAGATGAATTAATCGACATTTGGGAGGGGTTTTGCGGTAGGGAGGTAGGCTGTGTACGGTGGAGAGATAACCTATCTGATACCAGATTATAGATTATAATTCTATTTCGTTACAACTGATAGAGATTACAAAAGATAAAATATAACTAATGTTAAACTCTCCTATCTAATAGACTAGCCTTAGTCAACTAAACTCACACCACATATATAATAACTATAGTTTACAAGAATAATAACATGGAATAATAACATTCATTAACAAGTTGTGTCTTGAAGTGTCTGAAAAAGACATGCTTAGTAGTTTAGTAAAGTATTTTATTTTCTTGACTTTTTTGATTGACCTGTTATTACATGAGATTGTAAGAATCAATGTCATTTTCTTGGTGTCCATTTCGTTTATGTATTTCACCCTTAAACTAAATGAACTAGTTGTGGTAGGGCGGTAATTTACTTAATTTTCACATATTATTGTATTGCTTGTGTGATGTTTGATTTTGACTTTACATTTAAAAATGTTTACTTTCAAATTAATTGACAATAACTTCATAGTGTTAAAATTATGATTTTAGCCCCAAGTTTGATAGAGGGCAAAGGGAATTAGTAATAAAGATTGTATTCGAAAATTTTTCAATAGTCTCGATGATTACATATGGTCAATATTGAAGTTAATAATTGAATGTGAAAAAATTTTATAGTCGATACACTTTTAGTGAAATTAATTATAGAGTTATATTACACTGACTTTACTCTCTCAATTCTACTTCATGATGTGACAAGAGATAATTTATCTTCATCTTGTAAATACTAAAAAAAATATCAACGTTCAAATTTTAAGTGAGCAAGCAAAAGTAAAAAAGTAGAACTTGAGAATATAAATAGTATTTTTCTTGACTATATTATATCTTTAAATTAATGGTATCACATCCACATTTTTTAGGTGGATGGCAGAATCTAACCAAAAGCATCATCACTTTTTTGAATAATGGATTTTTATTTTTATTTTTGGTGCAAGATGAGTGGCAACTAGGATTGGGAATAGGCCAGGCCCATTGTAGGGAATTATGTCCTGGCCTAATTAAAGCTTAGTTAGGCCTAACTTATTTAGTAAAAAGGTCAGGCTTAAGCCAATTTCAAAGCCTATTAAACTAAACAAGTCAGGCCTATATATACCAGGTTCGGCCTTCAGGCCTACATGCCTGGCATATATATATATATATATATATATATATATATATATATATATATATATATATATATATATATATATATATATATATATATATATATATACCTAATATTTTTATATATACCTAATATTTTTATATTTACAATATAACTCCAAGTATATATAATTACCAAACCCTAACCCTCCACCTCCAAAATCTCATTCTAAATTATGATTCAACTATAAACATTGCTGTTAATCCTGCTATTAGTGTTCTTATTGTGTAATTTTTTTTATTAACTGTTCTTACTATCCTAATATTTAATGAAGTGTCACAACTTAATTATGTGGGTTGATTTTTAATTATTTATGATATTATATGGGATAACAAACAATAATACAATTGAATTTATTTCTAAACAAGTTAACGAGCATGCTGAGTCGTGACTTGTTTTATTTTATTTTATATTTATTTGCTATTATGTTTGCATTGTAATGATATACTTATATAATTATGTATCAGTTTTGTATTAGGTACATTTCTTATATTATTTAGATATACTAAAGGTTTTAAAAAGTCTTAACAAGTAGGCTTTAATAGGCTCAAGGTAGGACTTACTTTGAAGCATTTTTAATGACCTAAATATTAACAAGTAGGCTTTAATAGGCTCAAGGTAGGACTTACTTTGAAGCATTTTTAATGGCCTAAATATTAAACAAGCTTTTAAAAAAGGCTTCAGGCCAGGCCAGGCTAATTGCAGGCTCAGGCTTGAGCCTAACAAAAAGCCTACATACAGGCTCAGGCCCAGGCCTTGATATACTTATGTAATTATGTATCAGTTTTGTATTAGGTACATTTCTTATATTATTTAGATATACTAAAGTTTTTAAAAAGTCTTAACAAGTAGGCTTTAATAGGCTCAAGTAGGACTTACTTTGAAGCATTTTTAATGACCTAAATATTAAATAGGCTTTTAAAAAGGCTTTAGGCCAGGCCAGGCTAATTGCAGGCTCAGGCTTAGCCTAACAAAAAGCTTACATACAGGCGCCCAGGCCTAGACTTTAGATTTTTGTAACAGGCCTAGGCCTAATTTTTCAAAGCTCGGCTCGGCCTATTTCCACCCCTAGTGGCAACCCATCAAACATTTATTTCGACTCTCAGTGATAGGGATTTATTAGTTTTATTTATTTATTTGAGTCGGACAACTAGAGACAACTTAAACTAGTTTATTTTTTTTATAGTCATTTACCAAATATAGTTAAAATGCATGATTTATCCAATGCATACATTCAATTACTAATTATATGTTTCCCTCGTATATTAAAAAATAAAAATAAAAATCCTTCAAAGAATACAATCATCAAAGATTCCCCATAATGGAAAATATAGAACATATATGGAATAAAATATATCAAATAATGGAGTATAAAGAAAATAGAACTACCTATAAAGGCACCTCCTACCTTATTTATGATAGTGCAAATTGACATTTCATTCATTCATTTTTAAAATTTGTTAATGACGAGGAAAATATATAGCTAGTATTTCATTCTTATATAATAACTCATAATATATATATATATATATATATATATATATATATATATATATATATAAAAGAAGATAAATTGTAATTGAAAGAATGGGTGCGACCAAATTGATTAAGAGGATATGAGAATTGATAGAATATGTTGCTTGACCATAGGTTGGCGTGTTGGACACGTATTATTAGCTTTGATATTGGAATATAATGACACTTAGATGATGTATTATGATAGAGAATTTGTGGATGAAAAACATATGAGGTGGTTCATGGTTGTGATGATTCTCACTAATGGTGATGAGATGTTTTATTTTAAAATTTTATTAAATATCTTTACAAATTTTATAAGAGTGAATTCTGAATTTTATCTGTATAATTATACGATACGTTGCAAAATTTTATCATATACGAATTTCCTTACGCTATTAAAATTTCGTAAGTAATGTATATTAAAATATCAAAAATTGTCAATTGTGTATTAAATCGCTTCGACTTTTGCTAAAGTTGATACATAATAAGAGTTAAATAAATAAAAATAATTAACTTATGTCCTTAAAAAAAGTATAGATGATACCTAAATTTATAATTATTTATCAATAAAAATTTATCATCGTCTTATATTTAAAGGTTAAAATAACAGAATATACTCATACTTTTAAATGTCATTATACATTTAATCAGCTACTAGTAAATAACTAATTTACTAAATAATTAATTTACTAAATAATTGGTAAATTAGTAAATTAATTAAACCAATTAATATAATTTGTGAATGTAGCTATAGTCGAGAGACCATTTTAGATATTTACTCTTATACATTTTAACGTCTAACTACTTTGATAGTAAAAAGTTGAATCACCTATTTAACCATTTTTTGCTGACAACAAATATCATTTTCCTCTTAGAAATTCTTAAGGGGAAACACAACATTATTATACGGCAATTTCATTATCGAATCGAATCTGATCTAAAATTTACAGATAATTGTATTATCTCAGGCCCACCACTGTCCCCGGGGGAAAAAGGAACGAAAACGCGGAGGAATTGCGGCGGCAGGAGGCGTATGTAACAACCCTTCGTACCAGATCGACGCGATTATATATATTCTAATCCTGTCGGTTTACGTGTATGTATCTTTCTCCAGCTGCCATACACCCTCGGGAGGAATTGGATTCTGTTTTGGGTGGAAGAAGATGAAGTTTGGGGAGACTTTCACGGAGTACATTCACGAGGATGAAGGCAACAAGCTCTCCTATGTCGAATACAAAAGCCTGAAGAAAGTTCTCAAACGTTGCTCCGCATGCAACACTCTCAAGGCTTCCAATGAATGCTGCTCTTGTACGTTTTTATCTCGTGAAATTTTGTTCATAGTTTGAATGGCTTTGAATCAGGTGGTTGATTTTTTTTTTTTGAATTGTTTGTTGCGATTGTTGTTTGAATGCATGTGTGTAATGCATTTGTTGTGAAATCCGCGACATTATTCAATGTGTTTTGCAAATAATTGCGGAATTATTCGGTTCATCTTAAATTTGGATTACTAGAGAAACTAGTAGTCATTACACAGAATGAATTTAGTTGACGAGAGAAATCAGCAGCCATTACCGGGTGTGCTAGGGTAAACCCTGGCCCGCAAAGGATCACAAACAAACAGATAAACTAGCTTAGGTTGCCTAAAAAAGGCCAATAGGTTAGGTTGCTCTCACGGAGAGTCGAACTTGGAACCTTGTGGAACTTGGATAGGTGTTCATCAGGAATTTGTGTAGAGAGACTGTTGCTGAGAAAGAATTGTTTGCTTCCTGTGTGTGGTTAGCAAAAAACTAGAATATTTTCTGAATTCTGTGTTTATGGCAGCCCCCTCCAACCAACAATTTGTTTTTCATTTTAACTTTTTGATGTGATCATGGCTAGATAAAATTTTTCTGCATTTCTGGAATTGTATTCATTAATGATTGCTTTAACAGCAATCATTCTGCATAGTTTTTGCATTATATGAGGTTGTAATGAACTAATGATCAATTTTGTATTTCTTTAGTGTGTGATCAAACCTTCTTTCCTGAACTGAAGAAGGAGGCTTCTGACATTGCTGGGTGTTTTAGCTCTAGAGTAAGAAGACTTCTCAGACTTCATATGGCTCCAGGGGTGCAACGATACTTCACATCGTTGCGTCACTGTTTTGTTGATGATCAGCAAGCCATGGCACAAGAGTGTCAAATGCTAATGCAGTATGCAGTGATGAATACTACTGCTATGCGAAAGATCCTTAAGAAGTATGACAAGGTAAGGCGTTTTTTGGCTTTGTTTGTGTTTCATTCTTATACTCTTCTTCTTTTCTTCCTATATGAAGAAATATCTTCTTGTAGATTCATGGCTCTGTCAAGGGAAGGAATTTTAAATCTACGATAAGTGCTGAGCACTTGGAGATTCTGCAATCACCGTGGTTGATTGAACTAGGAGCTTTCTATTTGAACTTCAATGCCTCAAATGGTAGGAGCTCAAGAGAGCTCTTCAGTTCTTTCTCATGTGATTTCGATGCTTCTGAGTTTACACTCACTTTGGCGCTTCCCGAAAATATAAAATTAGAATACAGCCTGAAGTGTGCTGTTTGCCTGGTGAGTCATTTACTTCACTGGAAAGAAAATAGAATTAATTTCATGTCGGAATTCTGTTCCTAACTCAAAGCTGGTCACAAAATTAGGATTTTGTTTTCAACCCCTATGCTTTAGGCTGTGGCCATCTATTCTGCAAATCATGTGCATGCAGGGCAGCTTCTGTGATGATATACGATGGTCTAAAGGCTGCAAGTAAGGAGTCAAAGTGTCCCATTTGCAGACAGGTCTGTATCTAATAGGTATTTCATCCACAAATAAGAATTACGGTTGATTTTCATATATAGTTGCCTTTGAATTCGGTATAGGTCCATCTGTGGGTGTAATGTTTGCACAAATGACGAATCTTTTGTTTACTTGAAGATTTACATCTATTCAAATTTTAGCATATTATGAGCCTAGTGTATTTCAACGGTATACAAAACCACGAGACAGAACTAAATCTATTCACACTAGTGTCTTTTCAACAGTATGAATAGGAGGGAGGAAGATTTAATAATAATAGATAGATTTTCAAGTGTACCTTTGTCTGAAGGCGAAGTTATTCAGAAAAGGCGTAGTGATTTTGCATATAACAGGGCATCAAACCGCCAATGACATTGTGGTCTAGTGGCTCTCCCAAATGGGAGGTCATGGGTTTGAGCCCCAGTGGGGGCGGTATTGACTCTTTGTGCTTCAGTAGGTTGAGAAAGTAGCTATGAACAGATACTACATTGTAACAGAGTCAGTAGTACTCAAAAAAAAAAAAAAAAAAAAAAAAAAACAAAACAGGGCATCAAACCAATGGTTTCACATTGTTTAACCAATTGATTACATTGTGCTATTCCCTCTTAATTTCAGGTAGGTGTTTACACCAACGTAGTGCACATGATGGAATTAGATTTGCTTTTGAAGAAGAGGTGAGTTTGTCTCGAGTATGCATTGTATCATTTGTAATCCCTGTTCTCTTCATCCTTCTCTCTCGAGAGCCTATCTTCCTGTGACATGGATACAATGATGAACTATATATTCTTTGCCCCGTTTTAGATTTCAAAAGCTGTGGAAAGAAAGGCTGGTGTCTGACCGAGCTGAAGCATTGAAGCAGTCTAGGCTGTTCTGGGAATTGCAAACGCGTTACGCGGTTGGGTTCTGATGTAGTTGCCTGCTTGGATCTGAAATCATCTTTTGCACAATTTTAATGAATCCTCCAGATCATTTGTTAACTTCTTGGTTAGAATGAAGGTTAGGATATGGTGGTAATGGTCATCTTTCTGGTTTCCATTTGCCATTTGAGTGAGAGACACTAGATGGAAATGCAGATAGGAGTATGCAGTTCATGTAGTGATTATTTGAAATAATATGTATATAATTTTCACTATTATTCTTTAATTTCTAGTCCATTATGTTTGCCATGCATTTGATTTAGGTGATATCAGTCACTTTAAAAAAATAAATTTAAATGGTGAAGCTAAATTTTACGGAGTTCCTTTCAAAAAAACAATAATTTTACGGAGTATTATTTTAACCAAGTTAAAAGGTATGTATGACAGTATGAGTATAAGATAAGTCCAAAAATACTGTAAATAAAGTATTTAAAGTTAATAAAGTAGTTATGAACAGATACTGCATTGTAATCTGGGCACTAGAATAATAATTGTAGACGAAAAGTTATAAGAATTAAATATATGGAAAAAGCTGTCATTTTGTGAGACCAAAATTGGTATACAATCAGTTACCAGGCTATGTTACTTCTAACTTATCCCAAATGTGGTACTTCTAACTTCTTTCCACAACTGGAGGGCAATCTACAAATAGCCAAAACTTTTCATCATCGCACCGTCACTCTCTCTAATCTGCATCGCCAAAGATTCAATCTTTCCGACGAATGTCTTCGTTTTCGTGGTTATCTCGGCTCCGTTCTTCTTCTTCAAGGCTCACTTACAATGGTTTCAAGAATTCATTTTCCCATAGGCAAAGGCAAAGCGTTCAATCAAGCCTCCTCAGAGAGGGCATAATCACCTCAGAGAATGCCCACTCTTTCTTTTCATGGACTGCCGGCTTACTCCCCCTGGCCCTCGCTCTCTCTGCCGGTTCTCTGGCTCTACACTCCCAAACCAACCACTCGTTTAGTCTCAGCGAAGCTCCGAATATGATCGATTCCAGGTATTTTACACCCGTTTATTAAAAAAAGAAATGATTTTTATATCATTTTTTAGGAATTGAGGAACAGTTTTCCTTGGAGCACTCAAATGAGCTGAGTATTTTTGAGTGGTTTATGGTCGATTGGTTTATTGGTTTCTCTATTTGGTGCATTGAAGTGTGAAAATTGGTGGCAAAGGCAGCACGGATTATGTGGTGAAGGGTTCTTACAAAGAAGTTCCACAAGAGCTTATTGATGAATTGAAAGAAATTTGTCAGGTATTGTATAGTTTTAGTTCCAACTTTTTGGTCTAGCCAAATAGCCAGTGAGTATTTTAAGATAAGTTTATGTCATGACTATCTAGACATAAGGCTTTGGCATTTAGATATCTAAAGTTTAAGTCTTTTTGACTATGCTCATTTCTGAATGTTTTGTGTACTCACTCAGTCATCTTTCTTGTTAATAGTGTTGAGTAAAAGAACACAAACTATTTAACACTATTTTTTATTTGAAAGGGTGGATTTGTTTAATGGTTTGGAGGTGAACTGCTGATGGTTTGTTATGTAGGATAATATGACGACGGACTATGATGAGAGATATACTCATGGGAAGCCCGAGAATAGTTTTCACAAGGCAGTGAATATCCCTGATGTTGTGGTTTTTCCGAGGTTTGTTAAAACATAATGCACCCGCATCTTTGTTTTTTGTATTGCTTACTCGCTTATCCAGTAACTTTGGTACTTTTATGCCCAGTCATCATTTGCAATTGGGACTAAAAGTAATCGAGTTTCCAGTTTTATGGGTGTTGTTGCCCCAAGCAGAGTTTTTTACGAGATGTTTGTGACATTTTGATGGATATCTAGATTCATATGGTGTTTTCTTGTTTTGAATCGCTGCATTGAATACTAAAGTACAAACCTTTTTTTAAATCGAAGTAACGAGTTATATTGAAATCTTCATTGGTGACTCTCTCCTCCATGCAGGTCCGAGGAGGAGGTATCGAAGATAGTGAAAGCTTGCAACAAACATAAGGTCTGAACTCCAATTGTAACTGGAACGGTGGAAACATATTTTATTTCATTCATATCTCATTTTTTTTATAATGTTTTTGCTTTGTTGCTTGTTATTTTAATGGTTCAATGTGCTGTAAACAGGCCCCGATTGTACCTTATGGCGGAGCCACATCTATTGAGGGTCACACCTTATCCCCTAATGGCGGTGTTTGCATCGACATGACTTTAATGAACGTATGAATTCCCATAAATATTTAATTTCTTGAACTTGATATTAACTTATCAAAATTTTGAATATATGAATTCTCCGAAATTCACTCGCAGCCTTTTTTCCGAAATAATCCTTCATAAAGTTTGTTAATTTGTAGCGTGTAAAATCATTACACGTGGAGGACATGGATGTTGTGGTTGAACCTGGCATCGGATGGATGGAGCTTAACGAATACTTGGAGCCCCACGGTCTCTTCTTCCCCCTTGATCCTGGTTAGTTTCTATTATCTTTTTAACAGTATTTCGTTCTTTGCTTTGGGAGATTTATTGTTTTGGTTTTTGCTTTTGTAAATTCGATCGAGCAATAAATTTGTTCTTGCCTAGAGCAATAAAGATGTCATCTTTATTTCAAACACTTATTAATTCTTAGGACCTGGAGCAACCATCGGGGGTATGTGCGCTACACGTTGCTCGGGCTCTTTGGCTGTGAGGTATTCACATTTACGAATGAAGTTTGCGATCATGAAGTTTAGAATCTTGACTCATAAGCAATGTTAAAAAAATCGCTAGGCGCCCTCTAGGCGCCTGGGGACCGCCTAGAGCGCCTAGGCCGCCCAGGAGGCCGAGCGCCTAGCGCCTAGGTGCGATTTTTGCAACACTGCTCATAAGTATAACTAATGGTTCCGATTTTAGCATGTAGGTATGGTACGATGCGCGACAATGTCATCAGTCTTAAGGTATGCTATGTCTAAACTGAAAGTTTCGATGGCGGGCAAGGGCACGGTTTCATGTGAAGCGCTTCTTTGACAGGCTGTTCTAGCCAATGGAGATGTTGTCAAGACGGCATCCCGGGCGAGAAAAAGTGCTGCGGGGTAAGCTTGTCCATGTCGGCGTAATTCGAAAGGTTGCTCACTTTTAACTGCAATGTTATTACGATGAACTTTTCTGATATCTGTGAACTTGCGTGTATTGTAGGTATGATTTGACACGCTTGATGATTGGAAGTGAAGGAACGCTGGGAGTTATCACTGAAGTTACTTTGCGATTGCAGAAAATCCCACAATCGTCAGTGGTATTCTCATTTTTCTTTTATCGGTCATTTATAAAGATGTTTCCTAAATTTATTTATCCAATTATTTTTGAAATTCTCTTTCAACTTATCCACATATAACTCCACAGGTTGCAATGTGCAACTTCCCGACAATTAAGGATGCAGCAGACGTTGCCATTGCCACTATGCTTACTGGGATACAGGTCAGAATCGTTAGCCAATGTTTACTAAAATACTCGTTTTTCTTACGAGGACAGAAAATTTCCATTTCCCCCGTTGAGAAGTGCTGTTCCTAATCTTATTAGGTCTCGAGAGTGGAACTCCTGGATGAAGTTCAAGTGCGAGCAATTAATTATGCGAACGGGAAAAATTTGCCGGAAGTTCCAACTCTAATGTTTGAATTTATAGGCACAGGTAAAACACTGTCCATCTTATGTAACTTATCGAGCTTGAAATATGGGACTCGACCCTACTGACCCTGACTACACCAGAAAAGCTAGGTCACGAGTGTATATCCAATGCTTCTGCAAGAACATTAGGTCGGTTTCTCTCAACAGTTTAGTTGCTAATCTTATTCGTTTATGCCACTATCTTCCAGAAGCGTATGCACGTGAGCAAACAAAAATTGTTCAGAAGATAGCTTCTGAGCACAGGGGCACGGATTTCGTCTTTGCAGAAGCTCCTGAAGAGAAAAAGGAACTTTGGAAGGTAACTAGATAACGTATCTTTCCTTTCTGTTTTTTTCATGGAAATGTACTTTCATCCCCTTTTAATCGTCCCAATCTATTCGGTTTATGAACTGGTCACCCATCCTGTGACTGCTGTAAGTTAAGCACGTTTAACCACAGAGTTCTTTGGCTATCTGGTTGCCATATCCTACTTAAAACCAATTGATCATAAGTAGGTGGACATTAACCATTTAACCACATCCCTCCATGGTAAGCCACATCGCCACGTCTCGAAGGCCAACCCGGCCGACGCCCAACACATAACTAGACTATGTACATCACATTCCCGGTAAGGGGCTTTTAAGGACAAAGAACGATCTGCTGTCTCTGTAAATTTCGAACTTTATTACTCTTAAAAAAAGGATGCGGTTTTGATAGTGATTGTTTCGACCTTTTGGTTTTAGATAAGGAAGGAGGCGCTTTGGGCTTGCTTTGCTATGGAACCTAATTTCGAAGCAATGATAACGGTTCGTTTTCCTGCCTGGTTTTTGGTTATATGCACAAAATCGTGCTCTAGTAACTAAAATACTATCGAGTATCAATCATCAAATTGTGTCCTCAAACTGGTAAGCGACTTGCTTAATGCAGGATGTTTGCGTTCCTCTATCGCACCTTGCAGAACTAATCTCCCGATCAAAACAAGAGCTGGATGCCTCGCCACTAGTATGGTACTTCTAATGAACTTCTCGAAGACTTTGATAACGCATCATTGAGAGAGATGCGACTTGACTCGATTGCTTCTTCATTGCAGCACAGTTATCGCTCATGCTGGTGATGGGAACTTCCACACGGTCATACTTTTTGATCCCGCCCAAGAGAGCCAACGTAAAGAAGCCGAGAGGCTAAACCACTTCATGGTCCACACCGCTCTATCCATGGAAGGTATGAGCTGCAACTCCTTCAAACTCGGTTTTTCAGCATTACTCGGAACCCTAATCTCTCTGTCGATCACGTAGTAGTAGTACTTTATATATATATATATATATATATATATATATATATATATATATATATATATATATATATATATATATATCGTGTTCTTCATCCCGATTGTTTGAGTTGTCAGGCACGTGCACCGGAGAACATGGCGTTGGTACTGGGAAGATGAAGGTGCCATAACATGCATTTATATATCTTCGAATTCTTTTTCTTTTACGAGAAAATTATACAGATCTTATATATCTCATTGTGTTGCTTCTTCAATTCCTTAATTTCCAGTACCTTGAGAAAGAACTGGGAATGGAGAATCTGCAAACAATGAAGAAGATTAAAGATGCTTTGGATCCCAACAATATCATGAATCCAGGAAAGCTCATCCCCCCTCATGTTTGCTTCTAAAGGACCGAAATTCTCTACATTGTCAGTTGTCTTGAAAACCGAATTGTGAGCCCCGAAAGGGGTAGTCAAATGGGTAGAACGTAACATGATTCTCGGACAATAAAATTATGAATTTGATTTTTGCCAACACACATTTTCAGTTCATTTCTTTGTATAAGATTTTACTTTTTCTATGTGATTTGTGGGACTGTGGTGGCGTGTCTCCAATTTAACAGCGGATAAAATCTTTGAGATTGACCAACTAGCTAATTTGATTTGGCTATTTTTTTTTTTTTCTATTGAAAGGAGGATTCACCTTCTTCTAGGCTCCGTTGCGAGTTTCTCTCGCCATCTAATCTAACAAAAAGAAAACATTAATAATACATTATGTATAAGAATTCTTTAGCAACATTTTAAAATATATTATCTTGTATGATTTTATGCAATTATTATTTATAATAAAATCTAATAATTTACAAGTAATTTTATATGACAAACTAATACGGAGTATCTAAAACTAAAATGGTAGAGTTCAGTTTTGTCAGTTATTGTGCAGTCCTATCGACAGCAGCCCTGATTTTTCGCGGGGCTAACAATAGATTATTATTATTATTATTATTATTATTATTATTTTGGTGTAAAGGATTTATATAAATACTTTTGTTTTATATATTTGGTTGAGCTGTTTTATCAACTGGAATATAATGAGTTCCATAAAAGTTGAAATTTGTCATGTTGTGGTGTCCGATTTTCATGGGAGGAGAGAAGACAATTGAACCCAAAAAAAGGCTTTCAAATAAAAAAAAAAATTCTAATCTTTTTTAATTTAGGGTGTGTTTGGAAACCTGAAAAATGAGTTCTGGAAATCATTTTCCAAGTTTTCAGTGTTTGGATGTGCCTGGAAAATCAAGTCAACGGAAATCATTTTCCATTGACTTTGGAAAATAGGCTTGTTTTGGAGGAAAATGACTTCTCTTTTTTTTTTTTGGGGAAGTCATTTTCCAACTTTTACACCAACATCACACCACCACCAACATCATCAACACCATACCACCACCACTTCACTACCACCATCACCACCACTACTGCCGCCGCCGCCACCACTATACCACCGCAACCACCGCCACCACACCACCACCACTACCACCACCAACACCATACCACCGCAACCACTACCACAACCAACACCACCAACACCATACCACCGCAACCACTACCACCACCAACACCATACCACCACCACCACCACCATACCACCGCTGCCGCCACCACCACCATACCACCGCAACCACCACCACCACCATACCACCGCAACCACTGTCGCCGCCACCACCACCACTACCACCACCGTCGCCGCCACCACCATACCACCGCAACCATCGTCACCGCCACCACCACCACCATACCGCCGCCGCCGCCGCCACCACCACCATACCACCGCAACCACCGTCGCCGCCACCACCATCACCATATCACCGCTGCCGCCACCACCACCATACCACTGCAACCACCACCACCATCACACCACCGCCGCCACCACCACGACCATACCACCGCCACCACACCACCACCACTACCACCACCAACACCATACCACCGCAACCACTACCACCACCAACACCATACCACCACCACCACCACCATACCACCGCTGCCGCCACCACCACCATACCACCGCAACCACCACCACCACCATACCACCGCAACCACTGTCGCCGCCACCACCACCACTACCACCACCGTCGCCGCCGCCACCATACCACCGCAACCATCGTCACCGCCACCACCACCACCATACCGCCGCCGCCGCCACCACCACCATACCACCGCAACCACCGTCGCCGCCACCACCATCACCATATCACCGCTGCCGCCACCACCACCATACCATTGCAACCACCACCACCATCACACCACCGCCGCCACCACCACGACCATACCACCGCCACCACCACCACCACCATACCATTACAACCATCGCCACCACACTACCACCACTGCCACCACTGTCATACCACTACCAGTTATTATTATTATTATTATTATTATTATTATTATTATTATTATTATTATTATATAACAAATAACACCACTACCACTACACCACCACCACCACCACAATATTTTTGATATATTATTAGTTATTATTTTATTATATTTAAAATTATTATTATATTATTATATATTATTATACATGTTGTAATATTCTAAATAAAATAATTAAAATGTTTAATTATACAATTCTACTCATTTTTCAGAAAATGAACCAAACACACAAAAACAGTTTTCCAGAATGCAACCAAACACTGGAAAGGAAAATGTTTTCCGAAAAATGACTCATTTTCCAGAAAACATTTTCCAGAAGTCATTTTCCAGCTTTCCAAACGGACCCTTAGTAAAAATTATACTCCATTGTTATCTATTCGTTATGTTACCACTAATTTGACACTATTAAATTTTACATATAGAGACACATACATATGCATCTCCCCAAGATCTTTTATGCAGTCTGGTGCTACGTATAATTTTATATTACAATTTTTAAATAATTACACGCGTGTTCTTTTTTAATTTGGGGATGTAACTAACTCTAACTTCATTATAGCTGTTAGATATGTTTGGACTATGTTTTCACTTTGCCTTAAACATCTTGATATTAGTCTAGCTGAGCTTCTAAATCGATTGCTGAGTTGGGAATTATTGGTAATTTTCCCAACAGGGATAGCCCATTTGAATTTTATTATCTTCTGGATAGTGTAAGAATAAGATACTACATGTGGATCATCATAAGAGGGACATTTCCAATATAATATATTTATTTTTACCTTTTACTTTTACTATGTAACCATAAAAAATTGAAGAAAATGTCATTGATTATGACATTACTAATAATACTTTGTAATTAATCAATATATAATTTAGCCACCATATTTTAATCAGACCACAAAGAAGTAATCAATTTAAGTTACCCATAATTATTGACTGATTCAAACCGAGAAGGCTAATAGACAGCTCGATTATACCTTAGAGCATCTTCAATAGTGGGGATTTTGGTGTGGTATTTGACGAGTTTTTGTAGGTGTGATTAGGAAAGAGAAAATGAGATAAGGAGGTTAAAAAAAAACAAAAAATAAAATGTCAGCAAAAGAAAAAAGAAAAAAGAAAAAAAGAACTTGAAATGCGCCCAACAGGCGCATGCAGTGACTGGCCGCAAATGTGCAACCCAAGCCAACTTTTCTACTTGCTTTTTTTCTTTGTGGGGTCCACACAAGGGGACAAAGAACCCCAACGTGCAACACACTCTCCCCTCTCCTCCACCTCATACTTTTTTCCTCCAAACCTGTGCACAACCCCCTTAATGGGGATGCCCTTATAGTTACCAAACCTACTACTTGACTAACTCACATGGCTGGATTTTGGGCTGTGTAATAGCACAAAACCTTAAATTTTAGAGGGCTCAATATTTAAATTTTACCTAACTAGTTAAGACGTTAAAGACTCTATGAGAAATGGTAGAAATGTGTTTCTATGGTGTTTCACCTTAGAAGTCAAAGGTTTGAATTGGTATTGGTTTTAAAGATTGTCCTTTTGGTAGGGTCTCATTTATTTACAAGAACGAGGTCACTAAAATCTAAAAATCGGCTCTGCCAACTCGGATGGGTTATCCGAGCCACATGTTAATAGGATGCTAAAAGAGACATGACAATTTCCTCTTTAATCCAAATTGTAAATGACATTTGAGTCACATAATCAAATTAAACCATATAATTAAGGAATAATATCTGCATGATGTGATGAGGTGGGGCTTCTTGAATTGATGAGCTTGGGGTTGCAACCAAATTGCAGAAAGTGGAGCTACCACAATGTTCATTACATACAGTATTATAACACCACCCCCAATGTTATGGAAGTTTGTTTGAAATCACAATACAATCATCCTTATCTTCATCCTATATATGCTTGGTTGACGTCAATTAAGTACTCTATAGTTTACTTGTAGCTAGTGGGGGTTTTTGGAAAATGCCCTTTTAATATTTTGTTGTGGGATAATATTGCCAAAACTATATACAATGCATTGCATACATATCCATTATGTAAATACACATACATGTGACGGTGACGCTAGTGTATTTTAAATTTAAATTGATAAGTTGTAATATCTTTGAATGTAGAGTGTATGATATAATTTTATTGAAAGAGAAAATATTATTTTTGATCTGATCTCCAAGTTATATTACAAGGGCGTAGTATAATGAATATATATATTCAATCATACGATTACATTTTCTTCGTTGCAGCCAGAGAGATCCCTTGGAATGGTTTATTCGGACCAGATGAGGCGGAAGCTATTGGGGTTCGGGAAGCTTTAAAAAGGCTAAATTAAAGGAGCTTAGACTGGATTGTATTCAGATTGAAAGTGATTGTATGAAGGTGTTTAGTGGCACCCAAAATCAGTATTTGGTGTCATCTTTTGATCTAATTATAAATGACATTAGGAAAGTAGCTAGAGACTTTTGTAATCTCGCATTTTATTTGTTAAACGGTTCGCAAATAGGGTCACCCATTTATTAGCTCGAGAGGCCTTGTCCAAGTATGACTGTTTAGATTTTTTCTCGGTCCCTTTCTTTTCTATTGCTCATGTACTGGAGCTAGACATATCCTAATCTAATATATTACTCTTTTTTTTTTTTGAAAGGATAATATATTACTTTTACTTTCAAAAAAAAATATATATATATATATATATATATATATATATATATATATATATATATATATATATATATTTATTTATTTTATTTTTATTTTCTTTTTACCATTTATGTGTTATACAAAATAATATATATACAGATAATACACCTTTCAATTCTCTGCATTGCTGGGTGCTATATATACCCCTCAATTCCTCTTCTGAAACAAAAACAAAATTATCTAAGGAGAGAGATCATAAGAGAGAAAGAGAGAGAGAGAGAGATGGGTTCACTTCCTCATGTAGTAGAAGATTGCAGTGGCATTCTTCAAGTCTATAGTGACGGTTCAATCTTCCGGTCCAAGGACGAGGACATAAACTTTCCGTTTCCTGTTCACGACGACGCCTCCGTCCACTGGAAAGATTCCCTTTTCGACCGCACCCACGGCCTCTACCTCCGCATCTACAAGCCGCGCTCCTCCGCCTCCGCCGCCGTTAGCCTCCCCATTATCTTCTTCTTCCACGGCGGCGGCTTCTGCGTCGGCTCTCGCACGTGGCCCAACTGCCACAGCTGCTGCCTCCGCCTCTGCGCCGGCCTCCAGGCGCTCGTCGTGGCGCCGGACTACAGGCTGGCTCCGGAGCACCGCCTCCCGGCGGCCATGGACGACGCGTTTTGCGCCGTGAAGTGGGTCGCCGCCCAGGCTTCGACCGACGCCTGGTTGAAAGATGGGGTTGACTTTAACCGGGCTTTCGTCCTAGGTGACTCCTCCGGCGGCAACGTCGCTCACCATTTGGCGGTTAGGCTCGGAGTGGGCTCGCCGGAGATGAGCCCTGTTCGAGTTCGCGGCTACGTCATGATGGCGCCGTTCTTTGGCGGGACTGTAAGGACAAAGTCGGAAGCTGAAGGGCCGCCGGAGCCATTCTTAAATCTCGAAATTCTCGACAGGTATGAAAATTCTTCCTTTTCTTTTTCGTCCTTCTGTAATAGGTCACAAACTATACCTAAGAAATAAATCAAATTATAATAAAACCTTATACCCCGACTCGACTGTGAAGTCTGGGTGTTAACCAGAATTGAACTCGAAACGTTTAACCAGAATTGTGCTGCGTTCCACCCACTCGACTAAGAAGTCAGGGTGTTGGCCAGAATTGAACTCGAAACGTTTAACCAGAATTGTGCTGCATTCCACCCACTCGACTGAGAGGTCAGGATGTTAGCCAGAATTAAACTCGAAACGTTTATCCAGAATTGTATTGTGCTCCACCCACTCGACCATTCGTTTCGGGGCCAAACAAACTAGTAGTGCATCATTGCATCATCCGATTGTAGTGCATCAACATTCCATTATGACACAGGAAAGGTATAACACATCAACATCATGAAAAGAATGGCATTACCAAATTCAATTCAATTCAATTATTACCATCTTCATCATCATTTCAACCTACACTACAACTTGCGAGCGGTACAAAAACCAAACCCAACGAAAAGGGCATGCATTAACAAGGATGTTTTGTTGGTTGGCTCCTTTTAGTGAAACCGACTTTACCTTAATACTTTGATGAAGACATACACATGTGTGGCATACTACTAGTGGGACTAATTAGGACGACATTGCAAAAATATATAGGATCAAACCAAAAGGTTTTACATCAAGCTAGAGAATGTACCTTGCATTATATAGTGCCTATATACATATTTTTTGTGGTTGTGGAAAGAATGAAAGATGTGATGTTTTACTTTAATTTATATACGAATCTATATTTCCCGAATATAGCTCAACTTGTCAACCAATTCAAAATAAATTCATAAGCTTGCATAAACATTTGGGGGTTCATAGTCTAATTGAAACATATCCCACTATGTATCTCTTCCACCCGTCTCCCGACCAAGAGTGGGCAAACTATTTGGTCCACACACTGTTATGTGGACCATAACAAAAAGTAAATTTTTAATATACTAAACGTAAATTATTCGTGTATGAATGTACCTTATACAAATAATATGCTTTCAGTATTTAAATAATGTATTTTTTTAAAATACAATGTACAGTTTTAATATACTAAAAGTATATTATTTGTGTACTGAAAGTATATTATTTGATATTATGATCCACACAGCTGTGAAGATTATGATCCACACAATAATAATTGTCACAAGTCATGATACTCTTTTAAATTTGGAATTTAAATTTATATATTATCTGGTAGCGACATCTTAGCATTTGACTTGGCCTTTCTAGGCCATGAGAAAACATAGAGCTTCATCAATCAAGTTATTTGCTTTAGACTTTAGAGTGTACCATTTGTCATTGGAAAAATGGAAAGTGGGTAGGACCAAGATTCCTAAGATGTGGAATATTATTATATTCTTTTTGACAACTTCAACCAAATTTAATTGACTAGATTGATTTAAGTTCATTATTTATAATTTTTTTTTAGTAGTTTATTTCGTATTAGTATATAAATTTTAATATCAAAAGTACCATTAAATACAAAAAAAAAAAATTGAATTTAAAAATTATTATAAAATGTTAAAGAAATAAAGAAAGAAAAAAAGAATCATATCTCGTATCTTGAATTATATTTATATATTGTCTACATCATATTACTAAAAAAAAATCATATTTAAAGTCATAAATTAAAAAAATTTTACCGTACCAATTAATACAATACCTTAAAATACATGTCTTTATAGTAGTCGATACATTTAAGCAAATTAAATAATGCATACTTGTATGAAATATTGAAATACAAAACACACCAATACTGATCAATAACTTATATGTATAGTTTATATATAACTATACATATAAATATCTTGAATAGTCACAACCATTACCAACTACAAGTCAAATCTTCATCTTTCTATGTTTGATTCTTTAGGTTATAGCCTTTTAGGCATGCATAAATGATTATTGGGAATGGGCATGAACACTATTGTGGAAGAGGCCAAATTTGGTTTGGAAAAGAGGGGATAAGTGATTCTCTCTTTTGGAAGATTTGGTAGGGCCCAACCGACCGTCCTCCCTCTCAAATTTGACCACAAAAATAATCATGCACATTAGGGTTTGTATCATATTTTTCTATTATTTTTATTATTATTGCTTATCCCTTGGAGGATATGATGACTCTGATCTATCCTTAACAGTGTTGCCAAATGCCAATGGGCAATATAAGCTAAGCTTCAAGGAATTAGGTAGCTAGGATAATATAGTGGGGTTTGGATTATTATCATTATCCTATGAATTCATATTTATCTTTCCCTTATTAGGATCACAACCACCTATTTGATATATATACAACTTCATCATCTTTTTTGTGCATAGTACTAAAAAAAAAAAAGACCGAAGTAACACATGTAAGACAATAAACCACAAATTAGATATGGTATTTATATTCCTTAATTAAAACATCTTCCTTAAATCTTCAGACCATCCCACCCAAATGAGGTATCTACAATTCAATCAGGGAATTATCATTACGTCCAATGCTGAAAACTTTGAGTACATAAAAAAAAAAAATTAGTTTATTTTTTAAATGTCCTTTAATTTCCTAAAAAAAAAAAAAAATCCTTTTTTTGTTTAAGGATAAGAAAGCACTACTTGTCCTAGGGCCACGGCTAGTCTCAATCTAATTGGTCTATCATATTTTAGTAGTTTATGGTATCCAACTAGCTATATGTTAATCATAAATTAAAACACATGTTTTCAATTCCTACCACCCTAAAGGGGCTAGAGCCCTAGGGTTTTTGGTTGAAAATGGTCTTTTCAATTAAATTTAGAGATTTATAAAATCTTTTGTTGTTATCTTTAATTATCCGTCAAAATTTTGATCAGTTAAAAGTTCGGTGTATTTTCTTAATTTTTGAACATTATTTACTATCACAAGAAAAACATGATTGGAGTTAGATTTTTCTAAGGCTTCAAATTTTTCGGACCACCTAAGATGGTGGCCGAAAAAAAAAATCATAATATTTGTTTACTTTTATTTTTTATTGGTCAAAAAAATAATAATTGTAAGCAATTTTTTGACCTGAAAATAATGTTAATCCACATACAACAGATTCTGGAGGCTATCACTACCTTTTGGGGGGACACCAGACCACCCATTGGCAAACCCCTTTGGCCCTGCAAGCCCAAGCCTGGAGGCAGTGAAGCTTGACCCAATACTGGTGATGGTTGGAGGCCAAGAAGTCTTGAAAGACAGGGTGGAGAACTATGCAATGAAGTTGAAACAGCAAAACAAGGAAGTTGACTATGTTGTTTTCCAAGGAAAACAACATGGCTTCTTCACAAATGATCCATTCTCAGATGTGTCAACTCAAGTCTTGCAACAACTGCAACATTTCATGATATCTAAAGTGTAAAATGATGAAATCTATATAAGACAGGACTTACATTACACTTCGTGGACAGTGATTGTGGGTTTCTCTCGTCAATTCTGATCTCTTATAATCAACATGCATGGCCATGGGCTTTAATTCCAGCTAGCTTAGCTAGCTAGCTAGGTTTAGTATGTATGGTTATCTTCATATATATAGTAAGTGGCTTTGTAGTTGAGAGCAAGACTTGTTGCAAGCATGTGTGCAATGGGCTCTCTGTCTCTCATATTTCTTCTGGTTTTCTTTTTTAAAAAGTGGGTTTTGTAACCATATAAAAAGTTAGGATTAATAGAGTTTTAAGAATAGTCCCTTGGTTTTATTTTGAATGAGTCAACAAGTGTAATTTGTAATATCTTTTTCTTTTTATATTATATTATTAGTAGTTTATTGAAATTTTATTTTTGTGTTCAATTTTTTTGTCAACCATATAACCATCATTATTGAAAAAGCACAAGAGACGACTAAGGCATGCATGGAATCCTCATTTTTGTTTCCCACACATAGAGCATGAAAGATTCACATAAACTCTCTTATAATGGTCCTGTTTGGTAAAATGGCTGTTAGCTGATAGTTGTTAGTTGTTAGCTGATTGTGTTAATTAGAGTGTATAAATAGTTGATAACATTAGCTGATGGTAGAAAAGTGTTTGGTAAATTAGCTGTTAGCTTATAGCTGTTTGGCATAATTTCTTTTATCAAAAAGCTAATTGAAAAAGTTGATTGGACTAGCTTTTTGAATTTTAGCTTTTTGGAGTTGCAAAAAATTAATTAATCAAACATTTATATTAATATTTTAATTAAATCAAATAATTAATAGTGGTCAAATAAGTCAAAATTGGTCTATAGGCCAATTTTTTACTAAACAGGGCCAATATAAATTAGTGGTGGTAGGCAATACATTCTTCATAGTCCTCCGAAAGAAGGTCCTCCATTTTGGGGAATCTTCAACTTCCACAATTAATTCCAACTTCTAAAGTCATTAGGCTACTCACAAAAATAGGATCCTAGTAAATTTAAGTTGTTTATATAAATTTGTTTACTTTTTCAGCACTCCTATTTCCCTGCCCAATATAATGGTGTCCATGCTCAAGTTATGGACATCCATTCATAGTGAGTGGACCACTTCCACTCACTTCATTCTATTCTACCTTTGATTTATATATGGAAAATGAAATAAAAATAGATAAATAAAAATGTTGACTCACACTTTTAACTGTAACTCGCATTTTTACTTTTGTCCATAATAAATATTTTTGATAAATAAAGATAATTTTTGACCGTTTCATATTAAAAACACGGGACGAATATCCTTATTCGTGGAAGTCATGAATGAAAACGAAAGGCGGTCATCGCCCATAATTACCTTCTATGTGTGTGTTTTATAATTAATTAATTAATTAATTAATTTATGCATATATATTTATTGTTAATTTTTATATATAACTATATAAGTCAATAACTAAAAAAGTAACACATTAACCTTAATCTATATTTGGATACGAACTCATCAAGATGATTAATAATATTCAAGTTTTAATTCTTTTTTTCCTATTTCAAAAGTTAAGTTTTATGTTTGGGATGACAACAGAGATGTCATAACGTTATATAGTAGTTGGCGAGTTAGGTTATTTAATATTAAATTTTTGTAATATTTAATTCATTATTAATAAATAAAATTTATGTACTCACAAATTACATTAAATTTTTATTTAATTTATAAAATCCAAATTTAAATATTATGAGAATTTATGAGAATGGGAATAAGCGAAACTGCATCACTTATTTATCAATGGATTATAATTAAAGTGATGATTAATAATTAATTACATGTATGATTCTGAATCACAGACTAAACGAGGATCATCTAAAATTGTCCCCGGATTTCCGACTTTACCCTCGGGGAGAAAGCAAAAAGGGGATATATGTAAGCCTCTGCAACAATCATTTCCTGCCATCTTCACGAAATGGGAAAAGCAAAACGATAAATAAATATGTAGTTGGGGCTTCCAACTTCTATCTCTCGCTTTCTCTCTAGAAGCTTTGAATATCTTTTTATTTTTAGTTTTTTAGTTTTTTTTTTTTTCGTTGTTTCTTCTATCTCAATTTTCCAAATCTCCGGGGAGAAAAATTTTCTGATATCGGAAAGCTCAGAGAGTTGATCGTTGAAGAAAACTTTTCTCTCCCGGAACAAAATAAAAAAATAAAAAAAAAAAAAAAATAAAAAGCGGTTCGGCGACTCTCGTTTTCAGGTAACTCGTCTGCATTGATCGTTGGATATATTTTTTATGTATGCATGCACACAGTGTATATGCGTGATTGGAATTAGGGCTTGATCGAACGTGAATTGGTAGTTTTTTGTGATTTGCAGGGGTATTGTTGTGTATATTGCGTGTTTTGCTTGTGGATAAGGGAGATTTGACGTGTTAGTGGCGAGGGAGGAGTGATTGAAGAGGGAGGGATCGAAGCTTGGTTGTATTGGTTTATTATTACTCCGTATTATTTTTTGTTTGATTGCGTTTTTGTTTTTGTTGAGTGATTGATTACGGTGTGTTTGGATTTGAGGCCGGATGTGGCATTAATAAGACTATGGGATCTGAGAATATGTCGCCGTCCACTAGCATGGCGCAATGTTGCGATTGCGATTGCAGCTGTTCGGCGGCGGACAGATCCATTGCAGGGTCGTGGCTCCGCTCTGTTAAGCGAAAGTATGATGAATTTGATGATTCTGTGTCTTCTGTCCCGGAGTTCGTCATGCCTCTGACGGCGAAGGTTGAGATCGGGAATGAATGTGCTGCTCTGCGTGAAATGGTGAGCGGCCAGCAGAAGAGCATTCAGGATTTGAGTAAGGAGTTGGATGCGGAGAGGAATGCATCCTCCTCTGCAGCCAATGAGGCGATGCAAATGATCCTGAGGCTGGAAAGAGAAAAGGCCGAGATTCAGATGGAATTCACGCAATTCAAGAGATTTACTGAGGAGAAAACCGCGCACGAGCAGCAAGAGGCGTTGTCATTGGAGGACCTGTTGTATAAGAGGGATCAAGCAATTGAAGCTTTGACATGTGAGGTGCAAATGTACAAGCACAGGATGTTGAGTTTGGGGTTCACAGAGTCTGAGGTTGAGGTAGAGCTTGAGAAAGAGAGGGATCGTTTGAGCTGCAATAATAGCCTCTCCGAGAATTCAAATGGACAATCTGAAGTCCCTCAATATGAGTATCCCCCACTAAAATGCTTCAATGAGAATCAAGTTTACAAGCTGACTGATGGTGAGGATGTGGATGTCGAGAAATATGCATTTGGGGAGACCCCACGCACCCCGGTCGACCATTTCCTGGATTTGGACAGTAGGATCATCCAGTTGGAAAGGAGTCCTATGAGTCCTAGGATCGCCCAATTGGAAAGGAGTCCTATGAGTCCTAGGATCGCCCAATTGGAAAGGAATCCTATGAGTCCTAGGATCAGTCATCCTGATGGTGATTTCTATAAGAACAATGCCCTTGAAAAGGTGATAGTTGGTCAATCTCCAAGGAGGCCAAGTCATTTGAAGATGTTTTCAAATGATAGTGCAGGATCTTTACTCATAACAAATAAAGAAATGAGTTATGATTTTGTAGTCGAGTCTCCAAAGTCCACTGTCAGTTTTAAGAAGACAGAAATTTCTCAGAAAGACGATCTTTCAAACTTGAGGAAAGTGGATAATGCATCAGAAGTTGAAGATTGCATGAGTGACAGAGTTTATACAATCGATCCCATTCATCTAGGGGCCGCACCTTATAATGGTGTGATAGATCGTAAGCCATCCCTTGGAATCTGTGAGGATTATATTACAACCCCACGGGATTCATTGATTTATACAAACACAGAAGACATTGATATCAAGAAGCTGTATGCAAGGCTTCATGCACTTGAGGCTGATCGGGAGTCAATGAGGCAGGCATTAATTTCAATTAGCACTGATAACTCACAACTGGTATTGCTGAAAGAGATTGCCCAACAGTTGGCAAAAGACATGTCACAACCGAAGAGGAGATTTGTGAAGAAACCATCCACCACTGGCAGCTTTAAAGTTGTCTCAATATTCAAGGTATTAAAGTAACAACTCATGTTTACATACTTCATACTAAATATAATCGTTGTTGTTGTTGTTGTTATGTACAGCATCCAGTCCAATATGTCCTTAGTTTGCTGACTGATTCTTTAATTTATTATGTCCAGTGGATGATATCCTTTGTGTCATGGAGAAAGAAATCACGCCGATGCAAGTGAGTGACTTATCATCTTGATTTCATAATTTATTGTTGGCTGATTTTGTTTCTTTAAGCTGAACTTGTTTCAAACATGCTTTTGGCTGCATAACTGCGTATTCTAAATTTGCAGTTTTATCCTTGTTAGCCCTTCTCATTGGCACAATCAAATCACTTGCACCATCTTGTCTTTTGATGTACCATAATCGTGACACTATTTGCTCGGGCATCTACTTTGATCCAGTCTAAACTAAAAATACTTGTCGGTTAACTTATTGGATTGGAACCGTTCCTTCACACCACGAGCTCATACATTTTTCGATCTTGTGTTCTTCCATCAGGTACATGTTTGGATTGTCAGGAAGCAATGCAGGCTTGCTAGTGCTTTTAGACAAGGGACCTCGAGGTCCCTGGAGGTGCATTTCAAGCACACAGGTCTGAAACCTGTTTCCATATCAATGCAGAGAGAGGATTTTTGGCTGACCTCTCACTCTTGGCATTTCATTCATTTTAAAAAAAAAAAATTAATAACTTTTTTGATTCAATGATCCTGAAAAATTGAGGCAAGTAGTCTTTCACTTAAAAGTTTGAATGATAAAATTTTGTTGACTGGGGAGTGGAAGGCTAGATTCAGTAATGCCACGTGGGAGGTTGTGCTTATGTGGCTGTGTAAGTATATTATTATGATTTGTGTATGAATAAACAATTTTCTCTTCATTGATTCAATGAAATAAAAGAGAGTTGTTTTTGTGACACAGCAGTCTAGACGACGACCTACGAATAAATTTCATGTTATATTTACGAATTACGATACAAAAAAAAAATTAAAAAAATTAGACTAATTACTCCGCAATAATTTGTATCGAAGTTAACCCTCGCACTTTTCATTTCATTAATTTATATTTAAATTACTCTGTAATAGTCCGTTTATATGTAATTAATAATAAAAGTTTCGTGAAGAATTACTCATTGTTTGCCATCAAAAACATTATTCTTTAGTTAAACACTTGAAAAGTTTTACAATAACTTGGTTAAAGTGAAAAAGATTTTAATCGCATAACTAACTAATTAAATCTTATAAGCGTCACTCTACAATATTGTCTACATCTGTACAATACTCTCTCATTTTAAATAAATAAGAATTAACTTTTAAAAAATAAAAAAAAATTGTCAAATAGTAGCAAAAGTTTTGTGTTGCAAGCTTGCAACACACTTGGCAATAAAATAAAATAAAAAAAAAAAAAAGAAAAATAATTTTTATTTTTCCACATCATATTGCAAGTCCCATCATTTTAAGAATGAGGTTAGTATAATCTAGCAATCTGTCCCAATCCACAACCTAATAAGGTGCTAGGTGATATGATTTAGACCCTTAGGGGGCGTTTGGTTCAGGTTATATAACATAACCAAGGTAATGTGACATTCCAAATCTTACATTCCTATGTTTGGTTCATATTATTTTAGGGAATGTCACATTCCTATGGAATGTAATATTCCCTCCACATAGGATTTTGAAGGGAATGTGATTCCCTTCAATTTCTTAGGTTATGTAAGATAACCTTGGTTATGTTAGTTTGATATATATATATATATATATATATATATATATATATATATATATATATATATATATATATATATATATATAATTATTTTTGTAATTACATATATATTTTTTATTTTTATTATGTTATGTTAGCATATAAAATAATTTTGTTTCTCACGTTCAAAATTTTAGTTAATATTTTAAAAATCATGTAATTATATATGATACTGTTATCTTATTTATTTATTTAAATTTTTAAATTTATTAAAATATATGAAAATATGTTAAGGATATTATAATGTGTGTATAAAAGATAACCCTAAATCAAACATGATTATATCACATATCCTAATTTTAGCCAAACAATCTAACATTCCCAGTAATCTAACATTCCCAGCAATCTAACATTTCCTAAGGTAATCTGACATTCCGTGAACCAAACGACCCCTTAGGGCAATCCTAATAGGGGTTCATCATCAAATTTTAGAATAGTAAAATTTCCTTGGGTTAGCTTTTGACAAATGAGAATGCAAAATTTTCACAAAATCTTCCTCCTGCAATTCAAAGAATCATGACAGAATTTTTAAAAATCCTCCTCCTGCCATTCAAATAATTAAAATATGGAGATAAAATAGTGAATTTACAAAAAGTTGTGAAAAATTTTAAAACTAATGGCAAAAATAATTTTTGTGATTGAGTGAGATAGTGAATGATGTGGATGTTGGGGCCCACAAAAATTTAAGGAAAAATCCCCAACTAATGAACTATTGAGGATGTCCTTAGGCATACTTAGTGCAAAATTAATAATAATATAAAAATTAATTTCATATTAAAATTTTATCAATATTTAAATTATTTAAACTATTTTTATTGTTTAATTACTAATTTTTTTAAAATTACTCTATAGTTTTTAATAAATTTAAATTTTAAAGAATTTGATGGGCCTTAAGCCGGGTAGACTAGCATTTTCTAATTTCTAGGATCACCTATGGTAAGTCTAACCTAGGGGTGTAAACGAGCCGAGCTCGTTAATGGAGGCTCGGTTCGAGTTCGAGCTCGAGCTCGAGCTCGGTAATTTTTGGACTGCTCGAGCAGCTCGATTGTTCTAGTTTAAACTCGAGCTCGATTTTGACATTGAATTTGACCTATTTAATACTTTTGATTTAAAATTCAAACTACTTTGTTTTATCTATACATAAATAATAGAAATTTTTTAGGAATTTTGAATTTAAAATTTTAATTTCTAATTGCTATTTTTGTATATTATTATACTATATTATGTATTATATATATTATATATTATATGGCTCGCGAGCGACTCGACGAGCCACGAGTCTAGAATATCTAGGCTCGGCTCGAGCTCGATTACTAAATGAGCCGCTCGAGCTCGACTCGAACTCGATTTTGACCGAGCTCGAGTCGAGCTTTGACCGAGCCGCTCGGCTCATTTACCCCCCTAGTCTAACTTTATCGACTTGCTTTGATAATGGTTTTAGTTTGGTGGTAGTAGGATGCGAATAAGTGAATGATGTGTGTATGTATATATATAGGTTTATATAAAAAATCACTATTCATATGAGAATTATAGACAAATCTAAATTAATATTCTGTAATTGAAAATAAATTTTAAAAAATGGGGTCAATTTCATAAATATTTTGTAAGTATATACATTGTTTAAAATTTACGGGCAATTATTTACTGTTAAAATATTTTAAAATAGAGTAAAATTAATGGACAATGGATTAGGGTTTTGTAGAGTCTTATTCCCACTATTTTCTCCCGCAAACTCCATCACTCTCTCTTCCCTTGTTTCTCAATTCTCAACCAATGCCGGCTTCCAAGACAATTTTATTCAGGAGCCATATCAGAAAGAGAAAGAATTGCCACAAGAAGAAACCTGCATCCAAAAAGCAAGCTTTTGATGATTATAGCAGAAAACAAGAATCAGCTGAAGAAGAAGAGGAAGAGAAATTCATTGACGAAGAAGAAGATGACGGATTCAGCTTGAAAGGCTCAGCACCATCGCATTCCCATGGAGTGCAGCCTCTGGGCAACCTTTACTATAGCTCATCTCCCCACAATTCGAGAAACACGGGCCTCGGTAATCTCCAGACCCTTACTGACGAGCTTGTTCTTGACATTCTAGGCCTTCTGGAAGGCCCCCATTTGGGTGTTTTGTCGACTGTGAGTAAAGCTTTTTATGTTTTCTGTAACCATGAGCCCCTTTGGAGGAATCTTGTGTTGGAGGGCTATAAAGATGGATTCTCCTTTACTGGGTCTTGGAAGTTTACTTATGTTAATGCTTATAAGCCCTTGTTTGGTTTTCTCAGTAGTGGGTTGAAAGTTAGGGACTTTTATTCTGATTACTTGTTTCAGAGCTGGCTTTGTGCTAATCTTGAAATGAAACATGAATGGCTTGAAAGGGATAACATTATTAGGAGAAATGGTATTTCTGTTGATGAGTTTGTTTTGAATTTTGAGGAACCCAATAAGCCAGTTTTGTTAGAAGGGTGTTTGGATAATTGGGCTGCACTTAAGAAATGGGATAGGGATTATTTGGTTGAGCTCTGTGGTGATGTCAAATTTGCAGTTGGGCCAGTGGAAATGAAGCTTGAAGAGTACTTTAGGTACTCAGATCAAGCAAAGGAAGAAAGACCATTATATCTGTTTGATCCGAAGTTTGCAGAGAAAGTTCCCCAATTGGGATTGGATTATGATGTTCCAGAGTACTTTAACGAGGATTTGTTTAGTGTTCTGGGCAAGGAAAGGCCAGACTATAGATGGATCATAATTGGTCCTGCGGGATCTGGCTCTTCATTCCATATAGATCCTAATTCCACCTCAGCTTGGAATGCCGTGATCAAGGGTTCCAAGAAATGGGTGTTGTTCCCGCCTGATGTGGTCCCACCGGGCGTACATCCTAGCCCAGATGGATCAGAAGTGGCAAGCCCGGTTTCGATTATAGAGTGGTTCATGAACTTCTATGCTGCAACCAAAAATTGGAAGAAGAAGCCCGTTGAGTGTGTTTGTAATGCTGGAGAAGTAATATTTGTGCCTAATGGATGGTGGCATTTGGTTATCAATCTTGAAGATTCAATAGCAATTACCCAGAATTTCGTGAGCAGGTACGTTATTTCCATATGTGTTACTACTTATTGAATGCTGCATTATATAGTTGATGATTAACCTTTGGCGTTTTCTTGCAGTAGGAACTTACTGAACGTCTTGGATTTTCTCAAAAGGCCAAATGCTTGCACTCTCGTGTCTGGAACCGATGACCGGGTGAATTTGCATGAGAAGTTCAAGAACGCCATTGAAGCATCTCTACCCGGAACTATCGATCATTTGACTCTGAAAGCAGAGGAGAAGAAGGCTCAGTCGAAAAAGCCTTCCTTCTGGGAATCAGTGACGGATTCAAGGGCAGGCGCTTTCAAGTTCTCTTTTTAAAGAAGTCCCGAGACTGCGCCAATCTTTAACCATCAATTCATGTCCCGTCGCTTATAATTCAAGGACGTGAGGAAGAACCAACCCAGAGAGTTACCGTTCTCCTATTCATCTTACTCTTCCATTCATCCTTCTGGGAAACTGATGAATTCTTCTAACTGGGATCTTGAGTAAAGTTTTGATCAATTTCACCCAATTTTTTACTGCATCTGCAGATAGGTTGTATGCTGATATATATGTAAGGTTTGCTACTATAGAGTTGCAGAGCCCTTTACACGTGATTGGTATTATCCAAAGTAGCTGTAGCCTGTATGTTGGTGGAGGGTGTAATTGGATTTGTAGTTGATAGTAACATTATGCCATTTTGTATTCATTAGTCATGTAAACCGATTGAAATTTTTGGTTATTGGTTATGAAGTTAAAGAAAAAAAAAGGGTTATTTTGATTTTTCGATTAGTTATGATTATGTGTTCTGAGAACACTTAAATTTAAGGGTGTGCAACGATCAATCATCTACTTAAATTTGCGAAAAAGTCTGTCATTGCCATCAGAAGGTGCACTTTGAATAAAGAATGCTTTGTGATGACAAGGAGGTAAATAATCTAGGTTGTTTATAATTGACTAGCTCGAACAAAGAAAGAAAATAGACAACTCTCATGATAATCGTTATATCGTGGATCAGGATGCACTCTGGACCCTGGTCCAATACACGGACTTTGATTTTATAATGCACATAATTCATGTTCATAATACACATAAATACGATATAATGAACATGGATTCTGTACATTATGAACATAAATTCTGTGTATTTATATAGCTGAGGACACAAACACTTTAACATAATACACAGAATTCATATTTATTATATCGTGTTTATGTGTATGTATATTATAAACATGAATTTTGTACATTATAAAGTCAAATTCTGTATATTGGACCATGGCCTACAGTGCATTATGAACCTTGGTCCACGATATAATTTGCCCTCTCATGAAGGAGTCGTTATGCAGTGGACTCGTGCCCAGCGTGCATCATGGGCACGGTAACGGTGCCGTCAGGCACTGTTATCTTCCTTCTTATTTATTTATTTAATTTCAGGCCGCTTCGTTATAGGAGCATATATTCACAGCTTTGTGTTCATAATTTCATAACTGTACATTCATAATTCCATAACTGTACATTCATAATTCCATAACTGTACATTCATAATTCCGTAACTGTACATTCATAATTCAATAACTGTAAATTCATAATTTTCGAAGCTCTATGTTCATAATTGTAAGTTCATAATGTCAGAGTTCTATGTTCATAATTTCATAACTGTACATTCATAATTCAATAACTGTAAATTCATAATTTTCGAAGCTCTATGTTCATAATTGTAAGTTCATAATGTCAGAGTTCTATGTTCATAATTTCATAACTGTACATTCATAATTTCATAACTGTATATTCATAATTCCATAACTGTACATTCATAATTCCATACTGTATATTCATAATTCCATACCGAACATTCATAATTTTCGAAGCTCTATGTTCATAATTGCAAGTTCATAATTCCATAACTGTACATTCATAATTCTATAACTGTACATTCATAATGTCATAACTGTATATTCATAATTTCATAACGAATATGTCGTTAACGGCGTTTCGAACATTTTTTTTTTTATAGTTAAAATAGCGTCATTTTCACTGAAAATGACGCCGTTTTAGCGACGTGTACCTTGCAAGGTGCGCACGTGCGCATAGCATAATTTGCCCTCATGAAGAGTCAAACTTAGTTGAGCCGATGCCTTTTGGACCTAAAGATAGTTGGGCCATCTAACTTGGGCTATGCACAAGGCCCAATCGACATTCCAATGAAATTTAAAAGAAAATCACCTCCATGCATGCACGCATGCATTTCAGATTTATCGATCCTTTTCTTCTTCGTGTACTATGCTCCTCGCTTCATCGCTCCTCATATTTCAGACTCTCCCTTTTATATTTCCTTTTGTTTTTCTTTAACATATTTCTTTCAATCATGCTTTTTTTCTTCGTTTATTGTTAATAATTGGGTATAGCTCAATTTTTTTTTTTTTTTTTTTTTTGGATTCATTAGCTATTTTTTGTGAAATTCATCAAATTTCTCACTCGGCCACGTTTGGATTTGGAATACCTAGTCAGAAATTTACGATATTTTGGTGAACCGATTCCTCGATTCATCACAAAGATTGAATTTTTGGCTCTATTGGAGCTGCTTTGTATTGAATCTGAGCATACTATATTGAACAGGATATGATGGGATCGTTAGGTGTTGGTGAAATTCAAAAAATTTAGGAGTTTAAGGTTTAATTTTGGCGATTTTAGGCTTTGATGGGGAATAATAATTCTGCAGCACCGAAACAGCCTAGCAATGGCTTCTTACAATCCGTGACCGGTGCTGTGTGGAAAGGCCGGCAATCGGATCAAGATCTCTCTGGCTCCATTAATGGAGATTCCAATAGCCCAGGCAACGAGCTTTCACAGGTTTCCGGTGAGGGTAATAGATCTGATTCCCAGGTTTCCTGTGAGGGGGCTAAATCCTCGAAGCATGGCCATATTAGGCGAGTATCAAGTATAGGGCTTCAGGTTGATTCTGTTCTGGGGAGGAAGACAGGGAACATAAAGGAGACTTATATAATAGGGAAGAAATTAGGGCAAGGGCAATTTGGGACAACATATCTGTGTATTGAGAAGGCCAGTAGGAAGGAGTTTGCCTGCAAAACCATTGCCAAGAGGAAACTGACTTCTGAGGAGGATGTGGAGGATGTTAGGAGGGAGATTCAGATAATGCACCACTTGGCAGGGCACCCCAATGTGATTCAGATTGTGGGGGCTTATGAGGATGCTGTTGCAGTTCATGTTGTGATGGAGCTTTGTGCCGGGGGAGAGCTTTTCGATAGGATTATACAGAGGGGGCATTACACTGAGAAGAAGGCTGCAGACCTTGCCAGGGTTATTGTAGGTGTTGTGCAAGCTTGCCACTCTTTGGGGGTCATGCATAGGGACTTTAAGCCTGAGAATTTTCTTTTTATCGACGACGAAGAGGAGGCCCCCCTCAAGACCATTGATTTTGGGCTCTCAGTGTTCTTCAACCCAGGTATTATTCTTGATTAAAGATTTGATAATATTGCCAACAAGGAAAAGTTTAATGTTTCTTCAGCATTGTTTGACTGGCCTTTATATAATTGATGAGAATCAAGATCAATATTCATGAACTCAGGTGAAACCTTCATTGATGTAGTTGGAAGCCCTTTCTATGTAGCCCCAGAAGTTTTGCAAAAGTTGTATGGTCAAGCTTGTGATATTTGGAGTGCTGGAGTCATTATCTATATTCTGTTATGTGGGGTGCCACCATTTTGGGATGGTAAACACTTTGTTCATGAACTCTGTGCAATTATTTTGGGATTTATGTCTCAAATGTAACAATTAATGTATATATATATATATATATATATATATATACTTTCCACTCATATGCAATTTGATATCCTGGTCTCCTGGATCAGAAACTGAGCAAGGAATATTTGAACAAGTTTTGAAAGGGGAACTTGACTTTGTATCTGAACCTTGGCCAAGTATTTCAGATAGTGCAAAAGATCTTGTCAGGAAAATGCTTGTTCGTGACCCCAAAAAGCGGCTGACAGCGAATGAAGTTCTTTGTAAGTCTGCATTATTCTCTAGACTTGACCCTTCCTGCTCTTATCATCAGTTTTGTACTTCTGCAGATGTTTATGGAGGTGTATTGACTTCTTTTCCCCATTTTTCTCGTTTAACGTTATAAGAGATGAACTAAGTTCCTAAAAGAATGATGTTTGTTTGATGTTATTATTACATAATTGCAGGCCATCCTTGGGTTCGTGTAGGTGGCGTGGCTCCAGATAAGCCTATTGATTCTGCGGTTATAAGTCGCCTGAAGCAATTTTCTGCCATGAACAAATTGAAAAAGATAGCCATTAGAGTATGTTCTTTGAACATTTTCAGATATTTAACTACTGTGAACATTAGACTGTTGGTTGGATATCTGCAAATCTGCAATGATGCTATTTTGAGCATTTAAAGAAAAGTATGCCGATTGCAAAGTTACCTTTAGTTGGTCACTTCATGAAGACCTGGGTCTGAAGGTAACAACAATTAGTGTGCCAATCGGAAAGGGAACAAAAGAAATGAAAAATTGAAGAAACCGTTCTGTTCTTTTATATGATTAAGCGTTTCAAATGCTTTTTGTTCTTGCAAATCTTTAGGTCATTGCAGAGAACCTCTCTGATGAGGAAATTGCAGGACTCAAGCAGATGTTCAAAATGATAGACGCAGATAATAGTGGACACATTACAATGGAGGAACTCCAAAAGGGCTTGGAGAAAGCGGGCGCCAATCTCAAGGAGTCAGAAATATTTAGTTTAATGCAAGCTGTAATTACAAACTATTTTTCTTCTGCTATATCTTTCTTGAATATACACCTCGATCTCTATTTGTTAAACTTCTGTGAAACTAATTTACTTCTATCTGCCTGTAGAAATCGAATGTCTGTTTACTGAAATGATTTCTTTGTTCCAAACTCCATTACCATTGAAGGTTGAGCTTGGTTTAGAGGCCAAGTCCTGGAGTTTGCTGATGATTGTTAAACACGTAAAGAATTTTACTTATTTATCGACTATATGCAGGCAGATATTGATAACAGCGGAACCATTGACTATGGAGAGTTTGTAGCAGCTATGCTTCATGTAAACAAAGTACAGAAGGAGGATCATCTGGTAGCAGCTTTCGCTTACTTTGACAAAGATGGGAGTGGATACATTTCAAAAGAAGAGCTCCAACAGGCCTGTGAGAAGTTCGGTTTGGAAGATGTTCCTCTTGATGAAATTATCAATGAAGTTGATCAGGATAATGTATGTAACTGCAATCTTGATATACTGCAATATGAATGAACAATACTAGAGATCTCTCTCACTTTTCTGTTGCCATTTATTCTCTCCAGGATGGGCACATTGATTACAATGAATTTGTGTTAATGATGAAAGATACTGACTTTAGCATGAAGGGGTTACAGAAGAGCATAAGCAGTGCACTAGGTTCGCGTAAAACGTGATCTCCACAGTCTCACGACGAGTTCTGTATCATTAATCAATCACACATGTAAGTGGCCTACACTTGTAAAGATTAGTCCGGCATTTTGGAGAGGCCGGGTAGATTCTTTTTGTTTTTTTCTTG